AGCAAATCGCAATCTTGATTCTTCACTCATATCCACGCTCATCGGGCATCTTCTGATCTGCTCTCTGCGTCGCCTCTTCCGACCTTTCTGTGCACGACATTACTTGCTGAACTTCCGATTCTCCGTACGCAACATCGCTCCAGGCGCTTTCCACCTTGGGATCGATCTGCACACAGCTATCTGACTTTGCAAGCTTTCTTCTCGGACAACATTGACCCACATTGAGCAGGAAGAGCATGAGCATTGAATTCAATAACCGAGCAAGGCGCGCCGCAAGCGCTTGGTATCGGCGCGCCTCTGGTTGCGAAAGGCGGGCATTTGGGACCAGCCTTCGTCGGTTGCTGCCACTGGATTTGGCGTCACTCCACCTGGATCTGATGGGTCGGGAACGGTGGTGCTCTCGTCCTCGCCCCTGACCCTCAGCTCGTCCGGAAGGAGTGCGAGCAATGCGTTCTGATACGCCGTGTCAGACGGATAGCCCAGATCGCCCGTCTTGTTTTGCCCTTGCTCCTCGCCGTCGCCTGGCCCATCCACAGGGGCTCTGCTCGTCCACTTGTCGGCGTCTGTCGATGGCACCGTCGGATCGAGTCGTGGCAGACCGCTCGAACCCACCGCTGGGCCAAGCCGGCCCGCCCACGCCGCAGCCACAACGCGCGACTGAACATGCGTAAACGGCATGGGCACGATTCGAATCGGCGCGCCGAGCACGCAGAGCGATGGATCGGGCGCGTAGAAGAGAGACCAGTCGTCGAGGTTCGTTAGGAAGGGGGCGGTGCGCGATGGGGGCGTGTAGATCTCGGATTCGTCCGACCAGTGGGAGTTGGCCTGCGGAGTGGTGGGGTTGACTGCGAACCCCTCGGCTGGTGTAGATGGCGGAAAGGGGATGAGTGGGTGCGTATCAAACGGCGCAACATCCTGCGACAGGTAGGGAAAATCGTAACTGAACCCGGTAGCGAACACGACCACGTCCACATCCGCCCTCCTTTCTCCGCCTTGAAACACCACCGCACCCTCCTCATCGACCTTCTCGATCCGCGGCACGACCTGTATCCTCCTCGTCCAGTCCGGACTGCCTTCTTCACGAGGATCGTAGTCCAGCGGAGGAGGCTTATCTATATGCTCGTATGAATGAAGCACCTTTCCCCCAGCCTCTGCCCGGCTCTTTCGTTCGAGGTATTCTTGTGAGGCAGCGGATCCTTCGGGGAGCGTGCGCAGGACGTACCCGCTTAGCTCTCTCGCAATGTCACTGCCCGAAGACGAGTTGCCCACCACCAGCACGGTCTTCCCTTCGAAGGCGAGCGGGGAGCGATACCATGCGCTGTGTAGAACCGTCCCTTTGAACTTGGGCAAACCCGGTATGCGTGGGATGGAGGGCGTGTTGCATCGCCCACTGGCGAGCACCACATGATCGTACACCTCCTCGTGCTTCGCTCCTGTAGAAAGGTCGATTGATGAAACGGTCCATTCGCTTCCCCACCCGATCTTCCCCTCGACTGCACGGTGGGCTGTTCGACGGACACACGTGACACTCGTCCCCAAGCGCACCTGCACCCCTTCCACCGCTTGCTGCGCGAACCTCTCGATGTACCCCTCCACCGTCGCCCTATCGGGAAACAGACTCGTATCCTCGCCGTATGGAAAGGATCTGAACCCCATCACGTCACACGGGAGGTTGGTTCGCAGTCCATCGTACATGGCACCCGGCGGACAAAACGTTCCTGCTTCATCACCGTCCTTGCGCGAACCGGACCACAGTGCGTGGGGCCGACCTGTGGAGTCAAAACGGATGATGCAGGGGCCTGGAGTGGGGTCGTAGCACCAGATTCCGCCGTGTGTGGGGCGCCTCTCGAACAGCGTTACTGAAAAGGTGGGGTGGTGGAACTGCGAGGCGGCGGAAAGACCCGCTGGGCCGCCGCCGACGATCGCTACTCGCCGTCGCGGTGCAGCGGCAGTGCTAGCCATTTTGAGCAGGCGAGAGAGCGAGCGGGTCTGCATGCAACGACAGGCAAGTGGTGGTGCAAAGGGGAAGAAGGTAGGAGCGTTGAAGCGAATCACGTCAGATTGCGTCTGCTTTGCCGAAAGAAGGGTCCGATGGCTCAACGGCAAACAAAAATCGCGCGTGGAGAAGTCCGTGATTGAATTTGACCAAACCCTCTCATGCTCTCCTTTGGCGTCAGACGCACTGCTCACACACAGCACGAGAGGTCGATACAATGAACATAGATGAGCTTGAAATCTCTCGAGATTGCTATTGCTTGATCGTACACTTTTTAAGGCTCTCTCACGTCCGCCTAGTTGAAAACCACCGTCTTGGCCCCGTTCAAGAGCACCCTCCTCTCTGCAGTCCACTTGACGGCTCTCGCGAGCACCCTCGCTTCGACATCCGATCCCGCCTGCACGAGGTCCGCTGGTGTCATGGCATGGTCCACCCTCTCGACGGCCTGTTCGATGATGGGCCCCTCGTCCAGATCCGCAGTAACGAAATGCGCTGTAGCACCGATGAGCTTGACACCGCGCTCAAACGCCTGGTGATAAGGCTTAGCGCCCTTGAAGCTGGGCAGGAACGAGTGGTGAATGTTGATGATCCTTCCACTAAACAAGCTGCACAGCTGCGGCGACAGGATCTGCATGTAGCGCGCAAGGACGATCATGTCGATGTCGTACTCCTTGGCGAGCTTGACCATCTCTGCCTCCTGCCACTGCTTGGTCTTGCCCTCGGCGGCGTTGATGGGCAGGTGGTAGAAGGGGATGCCGTTGGCTTTGGCGAGCGGCTCGTAGTCGGCGTGGTTCGAGATGATCAATGGCACCGTGATAGGGAGCGTGTTGTTGCTCAGCCTGAAAAGCAGGTCGTTCAAGCAGTGACCGATCTTGGACACCATGATGAGCGTGCGAGGCTTTTCCTCGGCGCCAAAGATCTTGACGGATACATCAGCCTCTTTGGCAAACTCGTCGTCGAATTCGCGCTTGACCTGGGCGAGGAAGGCGGTGCGCTGCTGGGCGTAGTTGGCGTCGGAAGGGTTGGGGTGGGCACCAGAGGCAGGGAGAGGCTCAGAGGCGTGAACGCGCATGAAGAAGGTGCCCGTAGTGGGGTCACCAAATTGAGCAGAGTCCATGATGTTCATGTTGCGGCGCGCGAGGAAGCCAGAGATACGGTGGACAATGCCCGGTCCATCGGGACCGGAGAGCGTGAGGATGATCGAGGGCGGGGGTGATGCCGAGGCGGACTGCTTGAGTCGGATGGACGGTGCGATCGACTGCGCAGCTGTGGAAGCTGCAGGAGCAGCCTGAGGAGTGGTCATCTTTTCGAGATCGGCGAGCGAGCGAAGGCCGCGAGTTGCGATGAGAGTTTTGGTTGAAGCGCGAAGAGCTTGTCGGTAGCCGGTGCTGGAAAGACGAAGGCTGGTGCGTGTGGTGGAAGCGATGGCAGATGAAGCAAGCTTCGAGCCAACGAGGGTGAACATCGATCGCGAAGACAAGGCTGAGTTGGAGGGGTGATGGTCAGAAAGCAAGAGTTGTGATTAAAGCGAAAGGTTCATCTCGAGAACAGCTGCTAAGCGAGACAGCAACTTGGACTAACACTTGACGTTCTTCTCAGCCGGGCAATTTTTCCAACGACAGCAGCCCAACAGCGAAATCAAAATCTTGGCCCTGCATGATGCGTCAATCTGTCAATCAACCTCAGCCAATCGCCATTGTTTCGGAGCAACCCGAGTCACACTCTCACGCTTTCGGATCGCTTCGGCTAATTCTCCGAAAGCAAGTTCCCACGCTTCAATCGGAAGCATTCCCACGCTTTGCTCAGATTCACCTTTAGGCGTTCCTGCACGGCCGACTTTCGGTCAAAAAGGAGCTGCAGCAGAGCGCCAAAATTGACCGTTGCGGTATTCGACTGTGCTTAGTCATGATTCAAAATCAAGGCTTGTGTTGCTCCACATCTTTGCAGCACGAGCCTCAACCAACACTTTCCACTTATCTTTCCACCATCTGCAACCCGCATATCGCCAACCTCGAGGCGAGCCTGAGGCTCATCAACCCTCTGTCACCCCAAGAGGATACTGATCATCCCCGCTGCACCGCAAAGCAGCACGTCATACTCATAGCCCGCCCGTCTCGTCCTCACAACGCCCTACCGTCGCCAAGATGAAGCGCAAAGTCCTCCTCATGGGCCAATCGGGCTGCGGCAAGACCTCGATGCGATCCCTCATCTTCTCCTCCTACCGTGCTGCCGACACCCGTCGACTCGGCTCAACACTTGACGTCGAGCACTCGCACGTACGCTTCCTTGGCAACCTCGTCCTCAATCTGTGGGACTGCGGCGGTCAGCAGTCCTACATGGACTCGTACCTCGAAAAGCAGCGCTCCCAAGTGTTTTCCACCGTCGGCGTTCTCATCTACGTCTTTGACCTTGTCGGTGCGGAAGGAGGCGAAGAGGGCCAGACCGAGTGGGAGCGCGATCTGCGGTACTACAAAGACTGCGTCAGCGCGTTGTATCAGTACTCGCCCGATGCCCGTGTGTTCTGTCTGCTGCACAAGATGGATTTGGTGGACAAGAGCAGGCGTGCATCGGTGTATAGTCAGCGAGTCAAAGAGCTGAGGCGGAAGAGTAGGGAAGTGGCCCATGCGGCGGGGGGAGGGAAGGAAGGGTTCAGAGTGCACTGCTTCGCAACGAGTATCTGGGACGAAAGCTTGTATAGGGCGTGGAGTCGGATTGTCCAGACGCAGATCCCGAGCTTGGGCGTGCTGGAGAGGCATCTGCAGCTACTGGCAGATACGTGCTGTGCGGGGGAAGTGGTGGTGTTCGAACGAACCACGTTTCTGGTCATAGCCAAGGCGGCAGGTAGCACGTCGACTGCGGGGGCGCTCAGCTCTTCGTTCGAAAGATCCACCCTCACCTCCCCCTCGGGTGGCTTCACGTACGACGAAGAGGAAGAGGGAATGGAAGGCTTCCGCGATGCTCAAGGTCGGCAAACCTCCACAGCAGGCCTCGGCTCAGGCTTCGGTTCAGGCTTCGCAACCCACCACGACACCCCAGCTTCCACCACAAAACCATCCGGGCTCGACCCGGAACGCTTCGAAAAGGTCTCGGAGCTTATCAAGAACTTCAAGCTCTCGTGTCAGAAGTTGCCCGCTAAGTCGAGCCAGTGCGAGTTCCAAGCGGTGGAGCTCAAGGCGAGCAACTTCTCAGCGTATATCGACAGTCTCACCAGCAACACGTACATCATGATCCTCGTCACGGATCCGGCGGTTCAGATGGCCAGTGTCAAGCTCAACGTTCAGTTGGCGAGGGATCATTTTGAACGTTTGCAGGCGATCAATCTTAGGTCATAGCAGGCTCACCCGTTTCGTAATACCCAGGCATTGTCACAGAGTCATTATCAGAGTGTGCTACTGAAGGTTACTTGCGATTGTGCATGAGAGGTAGATGCGAAAGGAAGCGAGAAGACTGCCGTCAGTCACGTTTGAGAATCTGTACGTTGGCCGGCTGAGCGGAGGAACTGTTGGCGGAAGCGGCGGCTGACTTGTCCTTATACTTCGCTCCTCCGCCTTTGCGTCGCGGCGGCTTTGGTTTGGCCTTGGCAGCCCCGTCAGTTGCTGCGCCAGCCGGCTTATTGACAGCGTCTGCCTTGGCCTCGGTCTTCTTGTTTGTAGAGCCCTTCGGCGGCGGCTTGACTGTCTGGGCCTGCGCACTGTGCTCTGCGCTGGCCTGAGCGGAGACATCGGCGGGTGCCTTCTTTCCCTTCTTGGGTTTGGGCTTCTCCTTCTTGACCGAGCCATCTTTCGCGTTGTCCTCTGCTTTGGCGCCATCCGCGGACCCAGCTTTCGCCTTCTCCTTGCCTTTGTCCTTCTTGCTCTTCTTCTTGCCCTTGCCCTCCGAGCCAGCCGCAGTAGAGATGACAGCAGCAGGCCCGCTTGCAGACCCACCTTTCGCAGCCCCAGCTTTGGCAGCAGCCTTCTCCTGCTTCTTGGCCTTCTTGATAGCAGCAGCTGACTCCTTCTTAGCCAACTTGATTGCCCTCAGATGCTGCAACAGCGGTGTCGCTTTGCCCGCCGCATTTCTCGCCTCCCTCTCCTTCTCCTTTCCCTTCGGATCATGCAGCGACGCAAGCAGATCCCCTTCGGACCGTTTGACATCGTCACTCGCCTCGTTGAGCCGTTCGACGAACGAAAGGTAGTCGGCGTCCTTCTCGATGGTGCCCTGCTTCGGGTCTGGTCGGGCCCTGCGACCGCGCTGACCACTGGCGGAGGGAGGGAGGACAACTTTCTGGTACGGCGCAAATTCAACGATCGCGACCGACTCTTTGCCCTTACTGTCGCGGAAGATGTGGCCGTCGAAGGCTTTGTGGAACTGGACGAGCGATTGGGGGTCGAGGAAGCGCACGTAGGCGCGCGCGTGCTTGTTGGTCTTGTTGGCGTCCGTCTTGAGCTTGCCTGCGACGTATTGTTTGAAGTCGACCGTTGGTGTGAGGGCGGACGATGTCGATGCGGTGGCCACGGTGTTCGCGGCCTGGGCTTCGCTTTGAGACGCCTCCGGGTTGGTCTGAGCCGGTGCCGGGGCAGCAGGTGCTTTGCAGTCGGCGACATCACGGACCCAAGGTGACACAGCTTTCCAGAACACCTCTTCGGGCAGATTCGGCGGCAGTCGACGGATCACCACTTTGCTTTTGAACTGGGTCGGTCCAGCATTTCCCTGACGACTCGGCTGCGACTTGGGTGCCTCCTTCTTCGGCTGTTTCTTGGGTTGCTTCGCCGCGCCTTGAGGTCCTAAAGCGGACGCCTTGGATGCTTCAGCCACGCTGGCTGAGTCCACGTCCTTGTCCTCCACGAACGTGACATTCTGCGCCTTTCGAGCTCGATTCTGAGCAGCTCGGTCTTTGTTCTGCTGGGCCTTGGAGCGGTTGTCAGTTGCCTTGTGCTGCTGCGCTGCCTTGTTGGTCTGCTGAGCTTTGACCTTTGAGGCCTGGCCTTCAGAAGCGGCCGCAGCGGGCGCTGAAGGACCCGCGTCTGGCTGCGACATCTTTGTACTGGCAGCAGCCCCGCCCTGAGCGATGAGGAAGACGATGATGAAGGTGAATGCGAAAGGCAAAGCTGATAAGGGTAGTGATCTGTTGACTTTGCAGCGCGTTCAGGGTCCAAGCTTCTTCCGCTGCCTCGCTCTTTCGCTGCGACTGCGCTTTGTGATTTTAGAGAGATGTGGAGCGAAGTTGACTTCATTTCTCTTTCTATCGTCACATCATCTCGGTACCGCTCGCCATCCTCCTCCTTCGTCGCTGCACCGAGCGACTGCAATACATGCGACAAGTGCGAGAGGCCCAGTTCCCGTCATAATGCCGCCAAGACGATCGAGAGCAGCTCAGAAAGCGGCGGAAGATGCGACGGTAGCAGAGCAGGCCGAGGCTTCAACGTCGACCGCGCCTGCTGCCGCCGACCCAGTCGCCGAAACTCCCGCCGAGCCGACACCAGCACCTGCTGCGCCTGCGAAACCGAAAGCGAAGTCACGAGCTGCACGTCATCAGCCGCTAGTCGTCGAGCAGCCGCCCACACAACCCTCGCCTCCATCCGCGCCTTCACCCGTTGCTGAGCCCGAGCCAGAAGCAGCGTCCGAGCAAGTCGCCTCTTCATCCAAACCAACGATGGAAGACCGGCAAGCGCGGCTCTCTGCGCTGCGCGCCAAGATGGCCGCCTCGACGCGTGCTAACCGCAAAGATATCCTCTCGGAACAGTCTCGCTCCCGCGCCATCGCTGCTGACCTCAAGAACCCTTCCGCCTCGCGCAAGATTCAGAAGGCTGAGAAGGTGCTGGAAGAGCGCGACCTCCGGGAGAGCGGGGAGGACGTGGAGCGTCACCGCAACATGCATTATTCGCTCGAGGACAGCGAGCGATGGGATGCCAAGCTGGAGGAGAAGGAGAGGCGGAAGGACCAGGGTGGCGTGGCTGACTTTGGCGACGCGGCAGAGCGCGCGTATCAGAGACAGGTGCGGATGCTCCGGCCGAACGTGGCCGGATACAAGAAGCAGCAGACCGAGGCGGAGGCGATCAAGGCGAGCAGCCCCGCCAGCACGGTGCTCATCAAGGGCAAAGGCAGGGCAACGGCACAAGAGGTGGTGCTCGACGACTTCCACTACGGAGCCCACAAGCCGTCCGATGATGCCATCGATCGAGTCGTCAGCCACCTCAACCAGGAGAAGCAGATGATCAAGAACAGGAGCAGAAGGAGACAGGACGACCCAGACGCCGAAGTCAACTACATCAACGACGGCAACAAGCACTTTAACAAGAAGCTCAAGCGGTTCTATGACAAGCAGACGCAGGAGATCCGGGAGAATCTCGAGAGAGGAACCGCGCTCTGATCGCAGAGCGTCGGCCTCGAGCGTTTATGAGTCACATTGCCGTCACATCAATGAACGTGCAATCACAACGCAGCGTCCGACCGCGTATCAGCATGATTCGATCTGGTGTGAAGGGTTGCTTTTGTATTGCTTGCGAGATGAGATAAAAGAGGGGAACAATGAATTTGGTGTACATGCTAGAAAGAGATTGAGGGGAATGATGCTATGCAAACGATGCTCGGCCTCCTGGCGTCCATGCTTTGGCAGCGTGGACCCATCGATGACCGTCATCCTGGGACTGAGTCGCTCAGCAGCGCGCATTGGGCCTCGAGTTGAGGTTCCTCGTGATCCAGCCGTATTGAAGACCCTTCTGGTAGTCCCAGTCGGCCGCCTGCTCGGTCTTCCAGGTCCACATGATCCAGCCAGATGCACGCTCGTACACCGAGATCTGAGTCTCGAACAGACGCTTCAGCGAAGCCTTGTAGTTGGTCGAAAAGTTGGAGCCGTCGCCCGTCTTCCTGCTGCAGCTGCCGACGTAATAACTTCCAGGAAAGCTGCCATCGTATCGCGCGCCGACGAACCTGCCGTTGAGGTACTTGGCACAGTCGGTGGGGGCAGTGGACCACTCTCCGACGATGGTCCACAGGTTCCTGTTGGAAGCGGCGAGGCCGCCTGCTTGGCTGCAGAAGGTGTTGAGACGGTCGTTATGGTTTCTGGCCACTTCTGCAGGCGAGAAGACCTGATAGATGTGCGTGTCGAGCAGGATCTGTTGGTACTGCGGGGGCTGATACTGTCCGTTCCAATACGACGTACCCAGAAAGGCGTCGTGGATCATGACGGCAGCGTTGTAGAAGCTTGCGCGGGACGCCTGGATGCCTCTGGTGTAGTACGACTTGGTGTAGTCCATGATGTTGCCGCCCACGAAGCCGGCGGGCTCGTTGAGGAGCTCGATCGAGGTGACGGTACCACCGTACTTGGCATAGCGGCGGGCGATCTGGGCGATGACACCGACGGCGCGGTTGGCGTTGTTCTGGTCGTTGGGCCAGTTGACAGCACCCTTGCGACCGGAGTTGTCGAAGCCGTTCTGCGATCCAGGAGCGCCGTGCAGATCGATGATGACCTTGAGACCGTATTTTCGCGACCACTGGATAGCACGCTCGAGATAGTCGGCTTGGTTGGCGCGCACGTAAGGCTCGCCGGCAGAGGTGTCGAAAGCCCAATAGCCGATTGGGATGCGGACATGGTTGAGACCAGCGCCTGCGATCTGAGCAAAATCGGACTCGGTGTAGAAAGAGGCCCAGTGCGCCTGAAGTCGACCGTAGGCGTTGCTGGCATACTGGCCGAAGGTGTACTCATCGATGACACGACCGTCGCCTGTGTTGTCAAAGAGACTTGGGGTGATCCATGGCTCAGCCACGAGCCATCCTCCGATGTTGACACCGCGAACCTGGTATAGTGAAAAGGGCAGCGGAGGTCAGCAAAAACGCCACTTGGTGTACGTAGCCATCTTTTCGCGCCTAGTGCGTTGAACAGAAGCTCACCTTTTGAGATCCATAGGCAAAGCCGGGGTTCTGCCGGGACTCAAGAACGATACGAGCATCGTTGAGCAGCTCGCCGCGCTCGTTGAGGAGAGAGTCTTGAAGTTTGCCGGAAGGATCGGCGCGAATGACGGGACGGGTATCGTTGCCGGCGGGAACAAAACCTTCGAGACGAGTGGGAGCTGCGACGGCCTGCTGCGACACGAGGACGAGCGCTGACGCCAGCGTGGAAAGAAGACTGATCTTGAGCATCATTTTGAGGTCAAGCAAATGTCGTTAAGGAGGTTGTGAGGTTGTGACTCGGGAAGAGGGGGTCCGACCTTGACGCTAGCCAGGCGTGATGTGACTATATGCAAAAAGTCGTTCGGTGACCAAGAAGGAGAGATGGGACGCCTGCGTCGAGAGGATGATGATTCGTGGCGTAGTCCGAGGCTAGCCAAGAGGTAAGGAAGATACGATCCGATGACGGTGGGGAAAGGGTCGGCTTATATAGATGAAAGGTCTGCCGGCAAACCTTGTGGGTGGACAATACGAAGAAGGAAGAGGGTGGGAGGAGAGAAGAAGGCAGGAGAAGGAAGAAGAGGGTAAGTGAACGATGAGTAACGACCAGAGAGGAAGCTCAAGCTTGGACCCCTCTCTCCCTCGCCCCTGATGGCAGTCTGCCTTGAGTGTTTGCCGTAGAAGCTGAGTGGGGTCAGTCAGTCGTGGGAAAGAGTGAATGATGTCCGACAAGCGCCATCGGCTGTTCTCGCAGGGCTCGCTTGATCAAGGCGCAGCAGCCGAGTTGCCCCATTCAGCTGTTGATCTGACGTTGCTTCTCGCATCGCAAGGCAACGCAGCCGAACTTGTCGGCAGACCCGAGATGTGACAGATCAGAGTGCGGGTCGAGCTGCATGAGAATTAATTGTTGATATGACTGATTCCGCAGTAGTGGAGCAGCCTTCCAAAAGTGCGAAATTGGTCACCTGCCCTGCAATCATCGGACAAAGCCGATAAAGTTGACGTGCTGACGGCATATGCAATGTTGCATTTCGCGCAGTCCCGTGCAGTCCCGTGCAGCGAGCTCGTCCCGTTCAAACAGCGGAAGTCGAGACGGGAGCCAAGCTTGCGCAGCTCGCTAAGAGCATTTTTGCGTTAAGAGCCGAAGAGAGACCCTGGGGAAAAGGGGCAAAGGCCCTTCACGCTCAGCCCACCGCCATATCCCCAACCGGGATCTCATGCGCTGCCAAGACCCTCTTCTTGCAGGAAGGGATGCTGCGGCGAGGTCCCAGCTCGCCGTTCCGCCCTCGCTTTAAGGTCACGGTAAAGCGACCACACTGGCGTACTCACACTAGCACATTTGCCATCGCTAGGCGAGTCAAGCCGTTAAGTCGACATGGTTGCCTTCCAGGCGATGAAGACGAGGAGGAGCTACTCACGGCAAGACTGTCTTTGCGAGACTTTTCGGTGCCATCAGCAAGGTGGCTTGACACAAGCGCGGGAGAAGCAAGGTCGCCTGAAGATCCTTGCACGGCGTAATGAAGTCAAAGCGTTGCCGGTCAAAATGGTCCGAGTTTCAGGCCTGGAACAGGGTCCCATGTCTCAGTTTCAAGGCCAAGCTTAAGCTGTGTCTGAGGCTATTTTTTTGGTTTTTCCGCCGCCAACCTTGGACCGTTCATCTCCGCTTATTTGGTGAGTGGAACTCAGCTCCGTTGACAGCCACTATAATTAATTTGACCGCGAAGATTTCCCCTCGCGCGGGCATAACTTAGCCTGCCATTCAACGCCTACGCCCAATCCTTTCGCTTATCGGTCCTTGCGTCATGCGGGCATCAGAGGCCATAAGGGTTCAACGCCGACCTCGCTTGTACATCGCATCAGAAGCGACCTTCGAACGTGCGGGTGGGGTCACCTGCAAGGGATGGTCTCATCTCGGCCTCAATGGAGCCTGACCGCGTGGTCCGGAGAGCTGGCTGAGAGCAAGCTGAGCGCAACTTGTTGCCAAAAGCGATTCGTCGAAGCGAGGCCTATTTGGGATGAGAGATTAATCGGTCCGATACCAGCCTCTGAGCAGGAGTACGCGCTCCGGTGTCATATCCGTGTTTAGCACAGCAACGCAAAGAGGTCACGATAGCGACTTTCAGCGGCAAGCCCTTTTTGATCCACGTCTGAACTCACAGCAAGGGCGAGACGAAAATATGACAGAGCTGCAATCGGTCCTGACCGGCAGCTCGTCAGCCTGGTATCGTCCGTCGTTCAAGTCAGAATGCTATGGTAGATTTCACCCTGCAGTAGGAGCAAGGTGATAAGCATGCTGGACTGGCAAGCGTCGGATAGACGCGCGCTCGACACAAGTCGATATATCTCATCCACAGAACGTTGAGGTAACTTACCTTATACGTAATCACGTTCAGCAAACGTCTTTGTAACTCGCTACAGCCAGGCAAACACCGTGGTTGCTACCAGCCTCCTTGTTCGTCCATATTCACAATCGACTCGCTCAGGTAGATCGAGCTACCAACGATCTCGAACGTCTCATTGCCGATACCTTGAACTCTAGTCTAGCATTCTCAATTTCGTGGATTGTTAGACTGTAGGCATTCCGCCTACCTTTTCTGTGCTGCTTATCTGCTGCTGACAAATTGCTGCGCAGCACGCATCAGAAGCCTGCACCCTTGAGTTTATTCGAGCTGCGACTGCGCTTTTCTGAGAGCAACACTTTGGCAGTTCTTCTTCCACAACCACCCACTTCCATCCCTTTGATCAGGGACGTGGCAGCTTGACTCTTCTCCTCCATCAAGCCCAGCGCCCATTCTCCAGCAGCGACGTTTCAACAGCATCAGTACGTCCATACTTAGCCGTTGTCGACCTCTGGCTCAAGGCATCCCAGCCCTTGCTCAAGGGTCAGCGCACCGCCGCTCTCATGCTGTGAAAAAGGCCCCTCTCAAGCTGTCGTCTTGACAAGCCCTCTATCAAACATGTCGCAGCACTACGGCTTCGAGCACTTCGATGGTGCGTCCAACTACGGGGCTTCGAGCTCGGAATACTCCAGCATCGACAGCAGCTCTCGCCCTTACAGTCAGACCAACGGCCAAAAGCGCACGCAGCCCAGCACCGCCTCTCGTCGTCACGACCTCGACCTCGATTTGGACCTTGAAGCCATCAGCGATCTTCATCTGACTGAGAAGGACTTGGACCCTTCACGGTCTCGCGCTCATGCTCATCAAGGTCCTTCATCCTCAAACTACGACAACGCTGTTCACCCGCATCTCACCCACGGTGATTTTCACAACGGCTCGGCCACCCTTTCTGACATCGAAGCAAATGCAGATTTGGCTCTTCAGCAGAGCCTACCTGAGCATGCCTGTGCGTACTGCGGCATCCACAACTCTTCGTGCGTAGTCAAGTGTCTCATCTGCAACAAGTGGTTCTGCAACTCGCGCGGATCCACTTCGGGCTCGCACATCGTCAACCATCTCGTCCGCGCCAAACACAAGGAGGTTTGCCTTCACTCCGAGTCGCCCCTCGGTGAGACCACACCCGAATGCTACAACTGCGGGGCTAAGAATGTCTTCCTTCTCGGCTTCATCCCAGCAAAGAGCGAGACTGTGGTGGTCTTGCTGTGCCGCCAGCCCTGCGCAGCCATGTCCAACTCGAAAGACATCATCTGGGATACTAGCCAATGGTCGCCTCTTATCGAGGATCGCTGCTTTCTCACCTGGCTCGTCAAAGTGCCCTCGGAGCACGAGCAGCTTCGTGCACGACCAATCACTCTGCAGCAGATCAACCGTTTGGAAGAGCTATGGAAGGATAATGCCAATGCTAGCCTCGAGGATCTTGATAAACCAGGCGTCGAGGAGGAGCCCAATAGCGTACTGCTTCGCTACGAGGATGCATACCAGTACCAGAACATCTTTGGCCCCTTGGTCAAGATGGAGGCCGACTACGACCGCAAGCTCAAGGAGTCGCAAACCCAGCAGGATCTCGTCGTGCGTTGGGACCAGGGTCTCAATCAGAAGAAGATCGCCTGGATGATGCTTCCCAAACTCGAAAGCGGTGAGGTCCGATTGGCAGTCGGAGACGAGCTCAAGCTCCGCTACCGAGGCGAGATGGCAGCCCCTTGGGAGGGCGTCGGTCACGTCATCAAGATCCCCAACAATGTCTCGGACGAGGTCGCATTGGAGCTCAAGAGAGCTGACGGCGTGCCCGACCACTGCACGCACAATTTCTTCGCCGATTTTGTCTGGAAGGCCACGTCGTTCGACAGGATGCAGAGCGCCATGAAGACCTTCGCTGTCGAGGAGCAGAGTCTCAGTGGATACATCTACCACAAGCTGCTCGGCCACGAGATCGATAACGCGACGCTCCGAACCACCATGCCCAAGCGCTTCAGTGCTCCCGGCCTGCCCGAGCTCAATCACAGTCAGGTCAATGCGGTCAAGAGCGTGCTGCAGAAACCGCTCAGCCTCATCCAGGGTCCTCCTGGTACGGGCAAGACAGTAACCTCCGCTACCATCGTCTATCAGCTTAGCAAGATGAACCCAGGTCCAGTCCTAGTCTGCGCCCCCTCCAATGTCGCCGTCGATCAGCTCTGCGAGAAGATTCACATGACGGGCCTCAAAGTGGTGCGTCTCACAGCCAAGAGCCGAGAAGCGCTTGATAGCCCCATCAGCTTCTTGACGCTCCACGAGCAGGTCGCCAACAACGACACTAACATTGAGCTGCAAAAGCTGATTCAGCTCAAGAACGAGCAAGGAGAGCTCAGCAGCAGCGACGAGCGCAAGTACAAGGCACTCACCCGGGCTTGCGAGAAGGAGATTCTCAGCACCGCCGATGTCATTTGCTGCACCTGCGTTGGCTGCGGTGATCCTCGCTTGGCCAAGATCAAATTCCGAACCGTGCTGGTCGACGAAGCGACGCAAGCAGCCGAACCAGAATGCATGATCCCCCTCGTGATGGGCTGCAAGCAGGTGGTCTTTGTTGGTGATCACCTCCAGCTCGGCCCAGTCATCATGAACAAGAAGGTGGCGCGCGCCGGCGCGAGTCAGAGTCTGTTCGAGCGCCTCATCATGCTCGGTAATCGGCCCATTCGACTTCAAGTGCAGTACCGCATGCACCCTTGCCTCTCGGAATTCCCTTCCAACATGTTCTATGAAGGCACTCTGCAGAACGGAGTTACCGCGCCCGAAAGGTTGCGCAAAGACGTTGACTTTCCGTGGCCCGTGCCGTCCCTGCCCATGCTTTTCTTCCAGAACTTGGGCCAGGAGGAGATCTCAAGCAGCGGCACGTCGTTCTTGAATCGCACAGAAGCATCCAACGTCGAGAAGATCGTGACGCGCTTCTTCAAGGCCGGCGTCAAGCCATCGCAGATCGGTATTGTGACTCCCTACGAAGGTCAGAGGAGCTACATTGTCAACCACATGCAGCTGCACGGCGTGCTCAAGAAGGAGCTCTACAAAGATGTCGAAGTGGCCAGCGTCGACGCTTTCCAGGGTCGAGAGAAGGACTACATCATCCTGAGTTGCGTGCGTAGCAACGAGCACCAGGGCATCGGATTCCTGAGCGATCCGCGGCGACTCAACGTGGCGCTCACTCGAGCTCGCTATGGCCTGGTGATCCTCGGCAATCCCAAGGTGCTCAACAAGCATCCTCTGTGGCACTACCTGCTCGCTCACTACAAGGAGAAGGGATGCCTTGTCGAAGGTGTTCTGTCCAACTTGCAGCCTAGCATGATGCAGTTTCCTAAGCCGCGCCGACCGTTGCAGAGGCCCGGAGATCTCATGGCCCGTCATCGACACGACTTGGCTGGCGACGATGCGTATGGCGCTTCTCGTCGGGGGCCATCTTCCGGCACGGGTCCGAAAGGCCACTCGAACGAGCATGGCTTCTTTCGCACGCACGACCCCATGTCGTACATCCCTAGCGACGCTCAGAGCGTCACGAGCTTGGGTACGCAGGCGACATACCCCTCTACCCATCTCTCGGTAGGCGGACAGCATGGACCGTATGCGAGCAGCATCGTGAGTCAGGACGTCGATACCGAGAGCCTGGCCGGCAGCATTGCACCGCCAGCAAGCATCACATACAGCCAGAGCGATCGCCTTCATCGTCGACTCAGTCTGAGCAGCATGAGCGGCGCTTCAGACATGACGAGCCTAGACAACTACAAGGGTGACGGAAGTTACGCTGGCGGGCACGACGATGACGCGGGTTCGACGTTTTCGGCTGCCATTTCGCAATCGTCGTTCACCACGTTTTGAAGGAGGACTACGACGATCTCCTCTTAGCATACTCGAATGCTGAAGTCGAGCGTTTTCCGGCACAATCCACCGAGTGCGGAGCGTCAATTGGCCTCAGCTTTGGCGTCAGCGGCTCGAGGGACAGGTACATCACAACGGGGATCGGCCATGGAGCAATGCAGCTGCCTTTGCTGCTCGTTGCGCTTGTAGCGCAGGTCGATAACGCAAGAGGCCGTCACGAAGGGTTCCTTGCCGACAGGAAGCATCCCTGCACACGGCACTGCATGCCACGGACCGCTGACCACGCTGCGCACTGCCCCATTTCGATGGCTTCTCCCTCTCCCAACGAAGAACCATAGAGTCCATTCACCGGTGCTTTTGATACTAGACTAGATTCGGCAGTTCTTATTGTTGCTGAAACAATGAAGCAAATCGAGCCTGACAATGATGGAGGAACGTGATTGTGTCTCATTGTGACAGCTGCTTTAGGAGACTGGGCTCCATCTCCAGATCTGCGTCTTTGGGCGAGGTTTGACCGGTTGGTGGCTGGCCTACTAGATCTCTTGGTCCGAGAGACCCGACCAAGCCTTCAGTTTTCACACTCAGCCCGCAGCTGCCCAGCCTGCACGAGGATTGGCCAGCCGTGCATAACCGCCTGGTCGGGAAGGGAAAAGCTTCTTGAAACCGAGAAAAAGTCTCGCCAACTGGCACCTCAACAGTTGTGTTTCAGACTCCGATTGAGACAAAAGGGCTGCAAACACTTTTTTTCCCCGGACGGCTCGCGCGGCACCAGCAGAGCTCGACTGTTCTTGATCCGGTGTGGTTGCATGTCTCGCCTGAGACCGTTTCTCGGTCAGCTCGGCAGTGTATCGATTTGATCGCGATGGACATGGATAGACACCGACACACGGAAACGCGGTCTGCCGCCCCCACTTCATTCATACTGATAGGCTGCAGGAGCCTCGCGTTCGGACCAGATGGCGGCCGTTCCTTGCTCACGTTCGCGGGTTTACCCTCAGAGACCTCGGCGCGGAACCACCAGCTTTGCTTAGAGCGTGCAGAGCGGTGTCAAGAGGCTATCGCGCGTGCGTCTGCAGCTGGCAACCAGCTGTTGGCACGGACAATGGAAGCGTGCGGATGTGGGGCATGGGAAAGGGGCCGCATGCTCTCCTGTGCTGCAGAGGTGGTGGCAGGGAGCCTCTGCCATTGTCCGCGGCGCGTAACCAAGGCGAAAGGCGTAGACGCGCTCGCACTTTTCCGAAAACTGAAAACTTGGCTTGACGTCAAGGATCTTGCTTCAGCTACACGGATTATACAATGGCGGCCGCTCTGCTCGCCTGCACGTCAAGGCTGCAAGTCAGTTCGGTTCGCTTGCCAATCCGCTCGCTCGCTCTGAGTGTGTCTTCGCTTTGCTGCTGAGGACCGTTCTGACGATCTGAATGATTGCCTTCGGCTAAGCTAGACAATTAGGGCTCGAGTGGGGGTATGTGTGTGCGTCGGCGCTAGCCATCTGGCGCTGTCCTAGTGCTCACGCCAACTCTTCACCTTAGCTGACCCTTACTTCGCTTTGCTCCTTCCTTCCCGCACAACACACTACCGACAGCTTTCGATCGCTTCGTCGCCATCGCCTCTGATTGCAGCCACGCCCGTTGAGCTCACACTCCTTTCCCAGCACATCTCGGATGCGCCCTGAGTTACACTTGGACTCGTCGGCGGCACTCTTGTTGCTCCATCCAGTCTCTTCATCTCCAATCGGCAAACTCGTCCGTTCGTCTGACACGGCATAGCATCGAGTCGCGTAGCTTCCTTCATAGTAACCAACGCGCTTGATCATCGGCTTCAACATCGCATCACTTTGACTTCTCCGGCGAGCAATCGGAAGCGCCACCAACGTTGTCTGCATGGTGTCAATCAAATAGATTCGCATCACCCGCCAGTTTCATTTCCGCCACCACTGGCATCCTCGGGTGATCCGACAAGTCCCCATTCGCGGCAAGCTGCCAATCATTCTGCCATTGTGACTTCGGCGTTAGCGGTGCGCGCACTTGCACAATGTTCTCGCAGTGGCGGACCAAGCGACAGTTTCCCATGGACGCTGGTCCATCGGTCGCTCCGAGGAGCTCGTCCATAACGAACTTGGCAGTTGAGTCAGACTCGGCTCGTAGTAACTCTTCTCGCTCGATGCAGCCCACGCCCTCTTTGCTTCAGCCTACCACCGGCGTCAAGGCCTCGAGAAAAGTCGCGAACCGCAAAGGATCCAAATCTAGGTTAGCCATGCGCGATGGCTCTGGTAGCGCGCCACCGGCAACGAACTTTGTCACAGGACCTCGATATGCTAAACGTCGATCGCGCCGCGACAGTTATCTCGAGTTCGGCGGAGGTGTTGTGCCTGGCGACTCATGCACGGAATCGGAACTGTCCGAATCGTCTGAGTCACCCATCACACCCAATCGACACACCAACGCAGAAAGCGGCTCCAACTCAGCTCCCCCGACGACCCCAAGCTTCCCCTCCAAGCCCACGGCTCCACGGCACGGCCGAGACGGTTCGCTTCCTCGACTCGAGCTGAGCCAAACACGCAGCAGCATCGACGATTTCCGCTCCTTACTTGCCTTCGCATCGCCATCCAATCTGCACGGCAGAAGGCTCGCATCCTCTGCATCCACTGCTTTGTCGACGCCTGACCTTGCTACTGCCTTTGCAGCTTCCGCCGATAGATCCTCGCCTCTTCCCAACAGGAACAAGCCGCAGCCTCCCATCCCTACATCAGCAATCACTATGAACAAGCCAAGCACATCCTCATCGATCTCATCCGTCACCAGCGCTGCAGTCAAGGGACAGAAGCTCCCACGGTCGCCCGCCCGGACGGTGTCGGGCAGAAACCAAATCGTCAGCACAGACGAGTACCGACGTCACGCTCACCATTCCAGCGGTGTGCAAAGGCAATCCACCGCCTCGAGCTTGCCTCGATCTGTCTCTCGAAGGGCATTGTATTCATACGACAACGATCAGCTTCGATCGCCCACGCGAAGAACCTCCATCTCGGAAGCCATGCGTCAGCTCGAGGACAGTGTCCAGCGAACGCCAGACGCTATCAACTTCAACGGGCTCGCTGCCAGCAGCAACGATTCCGAGACCAGACGCGCTGTCCTTACATCCAGCGCTCGTGCCAACACAACCATGTCGCGCACCAACAGTCGTGGCTCACGCAGACACACCAAGTCCAGCAGCGATATGTCGGCTCGCAATTCCACCGAGAGCTGGAGGGGCGGTGCCATCGGTCGCGATATCCTTCGCATGCTCAATGATGCCGAACAGCTTGACGATACGCAAACCACGTCGTCGCTGGCTTCGAGCAAGCTGCAAGGTACGCTCGTCAGCGAGGGTGGTCATAGCTCAGCAACAGATCCTAGCACCGACTTGCATGACGCAGAGCAGTTAGCCACCATCAAGGAGCGCATCGAGGCACCCGAAGTCGCGCTCCAGCGCCAAATGTCGATCGATCTCGGCTTGAGCCCATCGCAGACCGCTGGGCTTTTCGAAATCGTAACACGCGGAGTCTCGACTTACTCTTCCGGATCTGAAGAGATCCGAGCTGGCTCGCCGGACTTCAGCTCCGCCAGGAGAGCGACTCGGCTTCCCGATCTTGATGAGGCGCGAGAGACTCGTCAGCACGGAAAGGTTCATGGCTTGACCTCGCCGACCTTCGGTCCTCGACAAAGGAAAGCTTCGCAAGCCTCGATTGCAAATGAGCTGCTGCCAGCTCTGACCCTTGATAGCACAGCACCAACATTGGTCAAGAGAAGATCGTCCAACGCCTCGTCGATTCGCTCCCGCAAGGGTTCGTCTGAACGCTATCACGATGCAGGTCCTCGTCGCGCCTCGGAAGGGCTCGTGACGATGCCGTCGCCGACCTCAACGCGCTCGGCAACGGAGGCGTATACCACGCCGCTTCCTTCCCTTCCCTTCGCCGCATCAACGCCGATACCTCTCTTGCCGCCCGCCTGGAGATGGTCTGCAGCGCAGGCATCCGAGCCGAATGGTCCCGAATCGGTTTACCAGGCCGAGCTGGCAAAGGCAGTGGGCAAGGAGCGCAAGAATCGACCTGCAGCTCTGGCTTTGGACCAGTCAGCATTGTCCGCATTTGCGCCTGACGGATCGGTTTCTTCCGCCAACACGGGCGTATTCAAAGGTCTTGCGAGTCCCAGCAGATTGCGCGCTCCGCCTCCTTCCGCCCCTCCAACGGAGCCATTGCCGCCTGTGCCTGATACGCCTCTGCTCGCACCCAAGAGTCCGATGGCACGACAGCGCCGCGGATCGGATTTCAGTGCGGCGGGGGTCAATGAAGCGGAGGCGCCCAAGACGCCAAAATTGCCTCGCTATTCGTCCTCGACCACCGACCTGCTAACGCCAAAACACTCTTCAGATCCGGCGTCAGCCTCGATCTCAAGTCCCAACAGCAGGCGAGCGATGGAGTCAGACACCATCTCGACCGAAGGTACGAAGCAGATTGAGACCGCGGGTCGGGTCAGGAGGCCGAGCGCTGGTGCGGTTCTAGCTGTCTCGCCAGTGCCAGAGGAGCCGCCAGTCCATTCGCCTGCACGCGTCCCGAGTGGCGAGGACTTGCATCAAGTTGCAAGCTCTCCAAAGACTCGAGCAGCGGACGCAGCCGCCTCGAGACGATTGTCCATGCGCAAGAAGGGTCGCAAGAGCCAGGAGGCGACCAAGAGTGCTGCGTCCGCCGTCGTTGCCACCGAGCATGCAGGCGGCCAAATCGTGTCGCCGAAGCTCACGTCGCCGATCTTGAAAGACCAGAGACAGTTCGCCCCGACCAAGGCAGAGGAGGTGTCTCCGCGGTCGTCGCCACCCTCGCTGCCAGAAGATGCCTTTGAGGTCGTGCAGGCTCCAGTCCGCCGCGCAATAGCCACCGAGAAACCATCTCGCCCCCCTCCGAGCGCTTGGAACGGACGTAAGGTCACTTCTACCGCATCTGTGAGCAACACGAGCGACGCAGCAGACTCATCAGAGCTGGGTCACGGACGTCTCGAGGATCCGCGCGGCGGTGCCGAAAGCGTCGCTAGCTGTCATTCCAACTTCAGCAGCATCAGCAATCGTCGTCGCGAGGTCCTCGCTGACAAGGAGGCGCTGCTCAATGCCCTCAGCGAGCCATCGCGGCAGGAGGTTCTCCGACGCACAGAAGGTCGTTTCGCCGGTGCATTCGGCGAAGTGGCCCGTGCATTCCGACAGCTGCAGGCCGACAAGACAATGCTGGAGCAAATCGTGCGCGAAAAGACACCCCTGAGCGGCGTCGGGGACACCAACGAGATGCTCAGCGGTCACCTGTCCAAGATGAACGCCAAGCTGGAACAGAACGGCGCAGAGATCAGGAAGCTGCTGGACCTGTTGGAGCAGCAGAGGGAGGTGATGGAGCAGATGATGGCCACTCACCAGTTGGAGAAGGACGCGTACGAAGATGAGGTGAGTCACCTGCATCGCGTGCTCGATGAGGCAGAGGCCGAGGTGGACCACCATCGAGCGCACGTGTTGAAGCTCAACGAGGAGCTGGTCAAGGCTCATACAGGGATTGCGCAGGCGAATGCGGATGCAACACGTGCCAGGACGATGCTGACGGAAGAAGCACGGAAGCGGGAGAAGGTCGTACAGCTGCTCCGACAGGCAAAGGACAGACTGAGGGAGGTGGAATCGGACAACGACCGCTCCGTCGATGGCGCGGATGTGGAACGCCTCTCGCCCGAAGTGCATCGCGCCTCTTCGTCCGAGAACGAGGTCGCCCAGCTGCGCCGAATGCTCGAGGACCGAGACCAAGAAATCGCCTCCCTACGTCTTTCGCACGCGGACGCAGCGATGCACCACGACGCAGACGACTCTCTCTCCATCGGCCACGACTCCACCTCTACACCAGCCGAAGAAATCGCCCGTCTTCGCGCCCAGCTCACCGAACAGCGATCACGGGAAAAGCAAATCCGCACAGCCTACGTTTCCGTCCGCGAGGAGTTGCGCAAAGTCAACCTCGAACGACGTCGCTCTTCAGCAGGGTCCGTTCAGGCACTCACCGTCCCGCAACCGCCCGCAACAGCCGGCTCACGCTATCCCCGGGTCGTGACGCCTGAACCGGGGGATAGGAAGCTGAAGCGTCTCAGTCTGCCGATTGTTGCCAGAGCTTCGGGGTTGGTGGCGCCCCCAATTGGCGGGTACGCAGAGTGGGCGGGTCAGGGGAGGTGTCCAAGTCCGCTGTCAGCGAGGTCGCCCACCAGTTCAGTGTTGGAATTGGTGGGAGAGTAGGGGTGTCACCGACTCAATGCATGCGTCTGGCAGGCTCTCTCTTCGTGTGCGTGTGTGTGTGCTCTCACTCGTGTTTGTGGGCGAGGTCGTCGTTGCGAATGTCTGTGATTGGTGAATGAAAGTGTGATGGAGCACAGTTGATCATCCGGCCGCCTCGTCCTTCTCCTCATGCTTGTCTTTCTCGTTCCCGTCCTTGTCCTCATCCTTATCCTTCCCCACAACTTCCTCTGCGCTCTTCTCAGCAGGTGCCTCCTCGCTAGCAGTGGAAGGTTGCTCCTTCGCCTGCTTCTGCTGCTCTTGCTGCCCCTCCTTCTTCTCCACATTCGCCTCGCGTTGCTCCATATTCGCCTCGCGCTGTTCCTTATTCGCCTCACTCTGCGCCTGATTCGCCTCGGCCCTCTTCTTCTTCTTAGCCGCCAACGTATCTCCGAGATGCAAATTGTTCGCCAGCGCCTTGGCCTTCTCGGCCGGTCCGTATCCGAACCCAAGATGCAGCTGCGCGCGATCGACTCTGCCGCCCGCAGCCCCGCTGTTGGCCGTCGCGTGCGTATCACCCAAATGGATGTCGTCCGAACTCAAGCCGCTGTACATGAGGTACATCATGGAACCCCATTCGAGGATCTTCTGGTTGAGCCAGGGGAGCGAGACGGGCTTGTTGAGGAAGTCATTGCATCCGGCGGCGAGGGCTTCGACTCGATCCGACGAGAGGACCGAGGCGGTGAGGGCGACGATGATGACCGAGGCGCGGAAGGGGTTGATGCTTCCGCTGGAAGCGGGGCGGGTGCGGTTGGCTTCGCCGACGCCGTTGACCAGTGCACCCTTTGCGCCGGGTCCACCGCTTCCGCTCGCGGGTTTGGTCGACGGTGAGGCCACCTGCCCTTTCACGCCCTTCGCTGTCACCGTCCTGCTCCCCCCGCCCTCGGCGACCGCCTCGGGCGTGTTCGGCAGAATCCCGATGTTCGCGGACCGCTCCAACTTGCGGATCTCCTTGGTCGCCTCAATTCCATCCATCACAGGCAACTGGATGTCCATCAGAATGAGATGATATCCTCCCGTCTTCCACTTCTCCACCGCCTCGCGTCCGTTGTTGGCCACGTCGTACTTGATCTTCTTCTTGCCCATAAACATGGACAGGATGCGCTGGTTGATGGGGTTGTCTTCGACGATGAGTACCTTGATGGGTGGCAGGACGGCTTCGCGGACGGGCGCCTTCTTGGGGCCCTGGTTGCGGCGTTTGGTCGAGGTGAAGCCCATGCCCATCATGAAGCCGGATTGCGGCACTGCGGACGGCTTGCGCGGGTCAGAGGGGGATGCTGTGGCTGAGGCGGGAGCGGCTTTGTTCGCGAGGCGGTGGGCGGCGTTCGGAGCGGTGCGCGCGTTGGGCGTGGCCGTAGTCGAGTTGCTGCCTGATGCGATCGCAGGTGCCGGGTTTGTGCCAGGTGCGGCCCCTTCGCCGACTGCAGCTGATCCGGCTGACTTTGTCGACCCAGGCCCGGTAGGTTTGCTTGGCTGAGATGTTTCGCCCGTCGGCTTGCCAGCATCCGTTGCTTGGGGACTGCTGTCAGCCGGCTTGCCACTGTCGCTCTTCTGAGTCACATCTTGCGTCGCCGCAGCATCTTGGGCCCCAGCACTATCCTCATCGGCCTCTCGAGCCTGCGATGCCAGACTCGATAGCGGAGTGGTCATCGGTGGCCTGGACGAGTTGAGCACGGAATGGATCCCTACTTGAGGCGCGAACATGCTTCCACTGGGATACTTGCCGACGTTCGACAGCTGGGATGGACGCGAGTCCGTCGATGCTGCTGACCCTGCGGGCGTCCCCTGCTCGTTCAAAGTCGGCAGATCGCTCGGGCGCAGATTGTGAATGTCCGCCGCACTGCCGCGCCTGCCTGCTCCTGTGGACCCGACGCTGCGGTTCATCAGTCTTCGATCGCGAGCAGCTGTATCTGATCGCTCGCTTGTCTCGGACGAAGGTCCGCGTCGGATCGAAGAAGCAGACATGCCACGTGAGAGCCCTGGCTTCGATCCTGGAACCGACGGCGTAGACTTGGGTTGGAAGAATATGCCCGCAGGACGTCCGTCCGGGCTCTGGATGACCATTCCGCTCGCAGCACTTCCGCCCATCTTTGCTGCAGTCTCGCTAAAGTACTCGAGAGCGTCCGCGGGCATGGGGCTGCTGACCGCTTGCGAGCGAGCAAGCTGTGAAGATGACAGAGGCGAAGTGGTGCTGGGCGCGCCCGAGCCACCACTGTTGGTCTTGGGTGCCACACTTGCATCCGCAGGGATGGGAGCGGGGGCTGGTGTGGCGTCTGCGTTGGTGTTGTTGCCCGTCTGTCGTGAGATGGATGACCGGGGCGCAGACTTGGTCGTCATTGCAGCGCTGGACGCGGCGTCGTCGGCACCTGTGGGTTGGGTCACGGTACGGATGCTAGCTCCTTTGGCTGCCGGTGCGGCGGCCAGCGGTAGGTTTTCCTTCGTCAAAGGGATCTCGGGAGTAGAAATGCCTTCGGGAGCATGCGCAGCCTCGATCGGGCTCCAGGGTGTGGAGGGTGTGGTGTCCTCCTCTGCGAACGTCGAGTCGGTCTCTCGCCGCGTCAAGGTCATGAATCCTTGTCCGTCTTGCTGCTGTGATGAGTCGGAGCTCCACCAGGTCTTTGAATGCGTGATGAGGGGCGACAGAGGAGAGGTCGCAATCGGCAGGAAGGGCAATCGCACAAGCGGCTTGTGTTGCGCCACATGCAATGCGGTCAAGATCCTCCTGGGCCCCGCTGGCTTAGGCAGGACCATGATCTCGGGCGGCGATGCCACGCCACGAAAGCTGGCAGAATCAATGATCGGCTGTACGGTGTCCCGCACAAGACGATACGACTTCATCGAGGTGAAGAAGATGATGGTCTGTGACACAGACTCGTCCATGGAATCGACGTTCTTGTTGCCGTTCTCTCCGTTCATCAATTCTGTCCCAAGTGAGCCAAAAGAGCGCGTGGAGGCGTTGCCGAGCTGGGACGCCATGATACGATTGACTTGAGGACTCGATTTGGTCCTGTGATCGAGCGTGGGACGTGGCAGCCTGCGTTCATTGGCCGGAGGGTTGTGAGGCGAGGCTTTGGAAGCGAGAGCCGATTTGAGGATCGGCACGGCTGATCGGATGCGAAGCAGCTCCTTCTGCAAAGTGACAATGTCGTCATCGATGATGACGAAGCTGAAGGGCACCACTTTTCGTCCAGTCGAGTCGATTTGCGTCTCGGGTGACAGCATTTTGTCGTCGGCCCCGGCCTGTGGTGAAGCAATCTGGTCGACGGTCGGTGGCACATGGTCAGAATTGTCGAAAGTGACGGGCACTCCTGTGACAGGATCCAACACAGCCGTGTCGACTGCGCTTGATGGCTGCATCGTGTCTTGTTTGCTCTGCTCCGTGGGTGCTGTAGTGTCGGAAGAGGGAGGAGACGAAGCCGGATGAACCTGTCTGTCTATGTCGCTTGTGTAGCTGACCAGAGTGGGTCTTCCCGAAGTTAAAGCGACTGCGGTGTGTGTGTGCTTGCCAAAGATTCGGTCGCTACCGTCGAAGGATGACTCGTCCACATTGTCAGTAAAGACGGGAGCGACATCGCAGCCGACACCCGAAAGAAATGTGGCCACTTGACGAGCGAAGAAGCTTCGGGATGTCGAGTAGAGTGCCACCCTCTTGCCCTGCAAGGTCGAGGCGAAGTCGGCAAGCTCGTCTTGATCTGGGCCAATGCGATGTTTCGAGTCGCTGCCCTGGTGCTGCGTTGACTCCAGCTCTTGAGGCTCGGCGAGCTGACCCACCGGAATGGTGATGGAATGATCAATGACGGCTCGGTCTGGACCGCCCGGAAGCTGACTAACGGATTGTTCTGTTGTGAGTCCTGCGCCGAATGCATCGAGGAGAAGTGAAGCTGGTGTGCCAGAAATTGACGACATGAGTTCCTGAGTTGCTGCAACAGTACGCGGGAGGACGAGGCGAAGACCGAGAGAGAGGATCACGAGCTTCATCTCCGAACCGCTATCGGGACGTACGACATTCTCCTCTTGGGGAGTCAAGGTGGTCGTCACCACGACAGTGGATCGAACGGGCGAGTTGCGCAGCAAGCGAGAGATGCAGCTCATGAAAAGGAACGTAAGCGCGATGCGGTCTGCCCAGACTGTGCACGAGCCAAGCTTATAGTGACGCTGATTGTCCGCTGGTTCGCCGTGTAGCTGTGGTTCCAAGTCCAGGACAAGATCGATGCCTCTGGCTGCGGCTAGACCGCTGACAACGTCTGCGACCTTCTGGAGTGTCTCGAGATAGTCGAAGTAGGTGAAGTCGACACCGTCGTCGGACTGCTGTTGGGTAGTCGAAGGGCGACGAGAGCCATGACCCCTGTCTAGTGTCTCGAGCTGAGATGCCTGATTTGCGAGCCATTCGAAAAGTTTGCAAGCTTCGAAAAGAGCATTGAAGCTGGTGACGGGAACCTGCAGAGTGCTAGCACTGAGACCCTCGTCAGTGTTGGATGGGAACGCGTTGTCAGGGACCAGGGAGCGCAAAAGATCGATGGGTATTGTGGCAGCGTTCCGAAGCATGTCAGGAAGATAGTTGGGATAGTGCGGCTTCGAGGAAGGGGCATCAGGTCCGTCAGAAGCCGCCGATCCGTTCGTGCCGTGGGAGGATGTACGGTCCATGTTCTGGACCTGAGGACTGAGTACGGGCAAGGAAGAGGCGGATGTGGGGTCGAAAGAAGTGCTGGTGGGGGAGAGCTGTTGTCTGCGATCATCCTCGATGCTGTCGAGGTTGGCGGTCAGTTGCGCGGACCGTCTTGGACGATCGAGGCCGGGGTAGGGCTTGGAATGCCCAGAGGTGGCATCGTGACCAGCGTCGGTGATACGTTGGGAGATGTCACGGTTGGCGTCGTCCACACTCTGTTGCGAGTCCTGAGGCAGGGATGGGCGGCCGTTGTTGAGTGGTTCCGAGGGCCACTGGAAAGCGCTCTTGGAGGGCGACCGCGGTCGTTGAAGGGCCGAGGCTGGATCATTGGAGTCGGATTCGGTGAATTCGAGGCTGGACGTGGCATTGCCGTTAGGAGCAGAAGAGGATGTGCTGGCCTGCGCCAATGGATCGTTTGCGTTTGATTCCGACGACATGATAGCACGATCTATGCTCTGACGAGAGGTTATTGGTGTGATGACACGCCGAAGTGAGCAAGGGCTGATCAGAGGGGCCGGAAGAGTGTCGCAGCACAGGTCTGACGCATCTTGTTGCCACGGATGGCTTGTTCGAGCGTCGGAATGGACGAGACCTCACTTGGAAAGCTGTGAAGAAAAGCGCAGGAGCCGATGGTGCGGGATGGTAGTCGAGGTGATGACGATGAGGGTCAAGGTGCGTGAGGGTCCTTGCGCTATCCAAATCACGGCTGAGCTTGGTGAGTGTGTGGAGTATGATAGTCGTGCTGAGCCTGTTGGTCTGAATTGCTGGTCGAACGTTGCTGCGCGTCAAAAGTGACAGAGTTGGCAGCTGCATCGCGGACTGCAGCCAACAACGGCATCCAACTCAGAATTTGGCCCGATATGCATGCGCTTCCCCGATCCAGGCGAGGCTTCCCTACTCGTCCTCTCATTAGCTTCAGCATGTTCGATAGCTGTTTAGATCGCAAGCTCGGGTCTTCTGAGGGGAGAACAAGCTCGATATAGGCATCCTGATGCACATTTTGTGCCATCGAAAGAATGCAACAGCCGAGAGAGGGGCTCTGTGAGATGATGGTTTCGGGAGTGTGTAGATCGTACAAATACATGATCAAGATGGATCAGGGAAGAACAGACATCGACCAACGAGAGCTGGCTAGGAGCTGCGGAAGACGGTAGTTCATGGATGCTGACCGGCTGTGTGGGAAGTATGGGCAAGAGCCACCGAGTCTATTGCCAGCCGTATCGCATGGTCTTGCCTCCGAACAATGCTCGTGCTTCTGGGGCATCTGAGTTGGAATCGAGACCTCCTGATGTGGCTTTGGGTGTGATCTGGTCGAGCTTGTCGCCAAGCTTGAGCGCGGTCCACTTGATCACTCGTGGATCCGCTCGAAGTCGGTCGTTGAGCGATTTGAGTACGGGGGCGTTGGTGTCAAAGTGCATCAGCCAGTAGCTGTCGGATGAGCAGAGAGGGATGTGGTCAAAGCATGTCAGTGGCAAATCCTGCTCTGAGCGTTTAGAACGAGTAGGCTCGACAGTAATGAGTACTCACTCTCCTGTGCTGTGGTATTGCTGATGTCTGCGTGCGCGTTGCGGCAGTCGTCGTTGGCCCCAGTATTGCACTCCTCGCACTGCGCCTCCATTCTCGAGAATCAGCTTGGACGTCGACTTGACCAGGTCGCGCAGAGGGGCCGACTCGGCGGATGATGCGGCGATGCACAGGAGCTCGTAGAGACTGTAGCGTTGGGTCAATGGATCAATCAGCACTTGGTCAGAATGAATCGACCGTGGGAAAAGCAGAGGCGAGTGCTTGTATGCAGCTGTGGCTGAATAACTTACGGCATGTTGGATCGTGTGACCAGCTGTTGTGCTGCGACGGCGTATCCGACAGTGATGAGTGAGAGTGCCGAGAGCGAGTGCGAGATGATGGGATGATAATGTGAAGCTGAGGAGGTGCCGATGTGACCACTTCGGAAGCAAGCCTTGTCGCCTTTCCCACCGTCACGTGCGAGTGCCGCTGCGAAGCCTGCCAAAAATTTATAAGATCCGCTCTGCAAACCCTGAAAAGTGCTCCACAAAAAAAAAAGAGTTTGGCGCAGCTGCCTGATGCTGCTTTCGATGCCCTCTCTCCTATTCACCATCACATCCCAGGCCGGTCATCAAAAGCGAGAGAGTCTTTCCAAGGACCTCGCTCACATCGATCACACCAGTCATCATGGTTTCGTCGAGTCATCACGGCGCTGGCGCTGATGCCAATTCAGCGTCTCTGGCAATTCACCGTGTTCGCTTCGTCAACTGGTCACCTTCCACTGTCACTGCCGTTGCCGTTTCACCATCTTTCGCAGGCACCGCTCGCGGTCTTCTCGCCATCGGCAGACAGAACGGAAACGTCGAGCTCTGTGTCTGGGTGGGCCCCCGTGCAGCTCAAAAGTCCGACTTCGACGACCGATCTTTCCAGTCCGATGCTGCCGGTTGGGCCGTCCATACCGTCCTGCCAGGTCAGCTCAACTCCAAAATCGAGCAGCTTTGCTTCGTCAACCCGCCCAACCAGGACCCAAATCAGCCGCGCAAGCTCCGTCTGTTCAGCATCTCTGGAGGTGCCATCGTCACCGAGCACTTCATCCCGATCCACCTTGCTAAGCTCGGCGCACGAAGGAATGCCGATCACGACGACGATGACCAATCCAGCAGCAAGCCCCGCCCGGGCACCGTCTCATCCCTCTTCGGCAGCAAGACTGCCTCCAATCTCGACCCACACTACCCTGGAGAGACTAGAACCTTGCCTTCGCTCGCTGGTGCCGTTTGGAGCATGGCCCCTAGCGCTACAGGTCGCTACCTCGCTCTCGGCTGCGAGGACGGCTCAGTGAGGGTCATTGACCTCGAAAACGATCGCTTCGAGCATCTTGCAAGCACATCAGGTCAGGATCGCAGGGTTGTCCCTCGCTTCGGAAAGGCCAAGGGCAAGGTCATCAGCCTCTGTTGGGGACCTCCTGTCCGCTCGCTCAAGCGCTCCACCCAGCGCTCAAGCTCACCAAACAAGTCCTCCTCTTCCGACAGTGACAGCGATAGTGGGAGCAGCAGCGATAACGACAGCGATGAGGACCAAGACGAAGACGACGATCAGTGGCACGAATCCTTTCTCGTTGGCGGTCTCGCTCTCTCTACCGCCGTGGTTTGGGATCCGTCTACCGGAAACATCGCCACCAAGCTTGCCGTCCAGAAGAATCGCACCGAATCCACCATCGTCTGGAGTGTCGCTACTCTCCCCGACGGTACCATCGTCACTGGCGACTCCACAGGCCGTGTCACCTTCTTCGACCCGCGTACCCGCCTTCCGATCCCAGAAGCAACCTTCCGCGCCCACGCCGCATCATCCGATGTGCTCGCTCTTTGCGTCGGCCCCGATGGCAAGACCATCTACAGTACCGGCGTCGATCAGAAGGTGGCGGAATACACCAAGGTCGAGACGTCCAATGGTCGTGGTCGCTGGATTCAGATCGCAACAAGGCGGCTGCATGCGCATGACATTCGAGCCCTTGCTCTCGACCCGCCGTACTCTCCGCTCGATGCAGCCCAGGCCATCGCTCGCGGCGCCGACGACAGCATCGCACCCAGCCGTCTGCCCATCCTTCTCAGCGGTGGTGTCGACTTCAACCTCGTTTTGACGCCGGCAGCCCCTCCTTCTGCCGTCGTCAAAGCGCAAAAGTCGTCCACGATCGCGTCCATCCCGACTGCCGCAGCCAAGCCCAACAGAGCCACGCTCAACAAGGTTGAGCAGGAGCATGCCTCCATCAACCCGATCTCCTCCAACCCGCTGACGACGTTTGCCGACACGACGCAGCGTCGCGTGCCCTTCGTGCCCACCGCCTCGCGCAGCGGACTGCTTGGTGGCGGATCCGTCGCCGCCCTCTGTCCGAGCAGAGGCTGGATCGTCCTCCGTCGCGAGCACTCGATCGGCATCTGGGACCTCGGCAGCCAGTCCGAACTTCTCTCCGTCGCTCAAGCATCCCAAGCCGGCGAGTCTCTGCAGCAGCAATCACCAAGCTGGGCCAAATTGCTCGAGATGGAAGTCAAGGTCGACTCGAACCTCGTCTCGGTCGCCATAAGCGACAACGGCCGCTACCTCGCCTTCTCCGACCTCTACGAGACCAAGCTGTTTGAGCTCAAGTCCCGACGCAGACCTGATTCGGCACCGGTCGAGCTCGAGCCCAAGAAGATCAAGAGCTTCGGCAAGGTCTTTGGTGGTCAGGAGAAGATGGCTCCGTCGGCGAGCGCGTTGAAGTTCTCGCCGGACTCGACGCGGTTGGTGGTGTGCTCGTTGACGGGTGCCTATGTGCACGTGTTGGAGCTGCCCTCGCAGGCCAATGGCGACACGTGCAGGCTTCTGAGGAGCTTCGGTCACCATCGAAAAGCTGCGACGGTGGCGAACGCGGGCGCAGGAGAGCAGCGCCAAATCGCTGGTCGAGGAAGCAAGGTCAACGGCGACATCAACGGCCACAGCAATGGAAACGGCACCCCCGTCAAGCAGCAGACGGATCGAGTGGAGCGAACCACCACGAACATCATCCAGCACGCCGAGATCTCGCATGACGGCGCGTGGCTCTCGACAATGTCGTCGGATCTGCAGCACCACATCTTCTCGCTCGACTCGTTGACATATGGACGAACGCTCCCGTCTCCCTCATCGCTGCCTTCTGGTGCCGTCTTCCATCCCTCGACGTCCGCGCGCTTCAGCAGCATGCTGACGCTCATCTTCGCCGACAACAAGGTCGAATTCTGGGATGTCGAGAGCGGCAAGGAGCTCACCACCGCTCCTGCCACTAGCAGCGCTACCAACGTCGACGCTGTCGCAGATGCAGCGGGAAGCCCACGCAAAAGAGCCAACCACTCCCGCACCACGTCCACCGCCACAGCTGCAGACGCGCGCACCACCCTCGTCCAAAACCTCACCTCGCTCAAACAGACGCTGCAGCTGCGACTTGCGAGTCTGCGCGACTTTGCCATCTCGGCGCTCTGGTGTGGCGATGGTAGTGGCAACCTGGCCAACTACACGCTGGTGGTGTACGGAGCGACGTGGATCGCTACTGCGCGGCCTGCTGTGCGCGCCGAGCAGGCCGCAGCGGAGGACGAGGAGGGTGATGTGCAGATGAACGATGTCGCTGCACCCACTGCAGCTGCTGAAAAGGCTAAGCTGGACTGGACGGTGCGCACCACGGCCAAGTATCAGCCGCTACTGCTGGTCGCACAGCTGCAGGTCGAGCAGGTGCAGGGCGAGGAGCCGACGGGAGCACATCTCGTGGTTGTGGAAAGACCTTACTTTGAGCTGGCAAAGAAGCTGCCTGCTGCTTTCCACAGGGGTGCTCGGTACGGCGCCTAGAGCGTCCGTGTATCAAACTTGTTGTACTTCATACAGTATCACATCTTCGTTCGCGCGAGTGTTCTCAATCCGCCCATCGTGTCGAGCGTGAGCCAGCGTGAGCCGAAAGCGTATGCACTCAGCCTTTCAAGCGAAGGGGGAAGCACAGGTGATGAGCTCTCCGCACGAATCACACACATCCACCCTCATCTGACACACGACCTCAGTATTCACACAACCATCAACTCGTGACATTGCCACAAAGCCCGCGACACTACAAACGATAACCGTAGCGTGAATGTTCTGCTTCTCGAATTGGGGACTCACCAATTCCTCTCGACCTGGGCGAGCCAACCAGGGTACATCTGTAATCGTTAAGAGCCAAGGGGGGTGGAGGAGAGATTTTGTTAAACTAGGATTGCCGGTTCCAAGTGGGTCGACGCTGCGGGGGAGGATGCCACGATCTCGTCGCCATCCGCACTCAGATCGGAGTCGATAAGGCTGCAGGAGCTGACGACGAGAGCGGGCAGGGGAGGACTGGCGAACAGTCGGGGATCTGAAATCACGGATACTCGCCGAGGAACTGGGGTCTTGGGCCATGGGCCACTGTGCGTGGGCTGTTGATGGGGCGTGCTGGTGCAGGAGCCACGTTGCCAGGTCGGCTCTTTGCGCTTGCGTTGGCACCGCCGTTGCTTGAGATGTGACGTCTTGAGCGAACATTTGGGTCGGTTCGAGCGTCATCGACGGCGCATACACCGGCCAAGCTGATTCCAGCGACGTAGCAGGGAGATGCAGCATGTCTATCGACTCGGCCTTGGGTGCAGAATCGAGTGGAAGGGCATCGGCCATTTCGAAACGAGGAGTCGAGGGTGACCGATGCGATACGACAGACTCGCGCGATGATGAGGAGGGTGTATTGCTTGTCATCGAGTCGAAGCGACCGTGAGTGACTTGAGCCGCGCGGATGCCTGCGTCGGCGATGCCTTCGCTGGCCGTCATCGCTCCGTATGCTTGTTGTGAGGGGAAAGGGAGCGTCCCATCGAGCTGAAACCCGACGTCTTTCGCGAACGCCTGCATCTTGGACACTTTGCGCTTCTTTGTTGTGATCGACGAGGTGTGGTTCCAACCTCTTTCCTGATTGGCGACTACAGTGTCTGCACTCGTTCTTGACCTTGCGCTCGAGGACGAGGAGGATCCAGAAGCCAAGCCGGCTTGGGCAAGCATCGCATACAATCTCGCATTCTCAGCGCGCAGCTCTTCCAGCTCGCTATCACTCGATGAGCTGGTAGAACCTGAGGCTGAAGCAGAGGCACGAGCAGCGAGCTCCGCATTCTGATCTCGGAGCTGACGGACGCACGCTTCGAGCGAAGAGACGGTCTCTTCGAGCGTCTTGATGTACGCCTTTCTGCGAACGCGCAGATCGGCTTGCGCCTGAGCGTTTCGAGTGCGTTGTCGGCCCATGGTGAACGATGGGCCCGCTTCCGGCGTCGAACCTGACGTTGCTGACATTGTCGAAATATCGATAGGGAGGGAAGGGAAAGCAAGATAGGGACCAGAGGATGGTGATAAGGATGAGATGCATTGAAGTGGTGGGCCGACTAGTGACTCCGCTATCGGGCCAGGGCGGGCGGGAAAGCCACAGTTTGAAAGGTGTGTCAAACTATACACCGGAGCGAAGCGAGCGCGATACGCCAGGCGCCGCCGGATCACCCAGCCGCGGCTCATAGATCGGATTATTTTAGCGCCAAAAAGAAAAGGAGAACTGCAGCACCTAGGATTCCCGCGTGGTCCCCCACCGCAGTACTGACTAGGCGATACCTTGCTTAACTTCGCAGATCGGACGGGATGCGGTGCTTTCAAGGTTCTATGGCCGCAGATGTAAGATGCGTCAAAGCGCTTTATATGTACAGCAATATGTACAGCAGCGTGGCAATGCACTCTGAACGAGCAACAAGTTGTGAAAGGCAGCCAACGCAGCTCTCCCCGGAGACCATTGACTGGCTCAACGAAAGCTTGCAGTGTGAGAGACTAGAATACACATGAGGTGGCGACTACTCTGACTTGCGCTTCTGTTGCTTGTTGACCTTGCCCTTCTTCCCGGCTGCTTGCGGTGCTGATGCCGTCTTGCCCTTATTGTTGGTGACAGCACCTTCCTTGACCATCTTCTGCTTCTTCTTCGCCGGCTGCACCTGCCTTGACTGCAGCTCTGTCTGCGCATTCGTGTTCTGCACGCCCAAGATCTGCTCATGGCTCCTGTTGCTGATCATGTCGTCCACCCATGCGCTACCTTGCAAGCCCGTTGCCGTCAGGTACCGGTGCGACAGGCCCGTGGTCGTGATCGGCTTGGCCAGCAAAGCGCTCAGCTTGGCCTTCATCTCGTTGAGCTTTGCCGCTGCTTTCCCATTTTGCGCTCTGCTTCGACCCGCAGTGGGTGCGTCCGGGTCGACGTCGTCATCCGACATGGCCAGGTCCGCCTCTTCAGCAAGCTTAGCGAGCCAATTGTCGTCGTGCGCTTGCTTGTTGGCCTCGTGCGTCTGCTTGTCGATGGCGAGCGCCAGTTCGACTCGCTCTCGTAGCAGAGCGAGGGTGGAGAAAGTGACCGGGAAGGTGGCGATGTCGGTTTTGCGACCCATGGCACGGCAAAGCTGAGCCCAGAGCGTCTTCTCTTTGGGCTCGATCAGCGCAAGGGACACACCGGTGCGCCCGGCACGCGCAGTACGACCGCTTCTGTGAACGTACGTGTCGGCTGAGCGCGGCAATTGATAGTGCACGACGTGCTCCACACTGGGAATGTCAAGACCACGAGCAGCAACGTCGGTAGCGAGCAGAACGCAGTTGGTTACCTTGCCCGATCGGTTGAAAGCGCGGAAGCGATCAAGATTCTTCAGTCGCTGCTTTTGCTGAAGCTGACTGTGAATCGGATAGCAAGTAACGTTGAGTTGAGCCAGGATGGGCGTCAGCCTTCGGATGCCGTCGATCGAGTTGACAAAGACGAGCGATCTTCCGGGGTATCGCAGCAAGAAGTAGTAGAGGTAGAGGTCTTTGTCTTTGCCCACGCACTCGATCTTGGTCTCCATCAGTCCTTCGGGCAGGCCCTGGCCGGGAGTAAGATCGATCACAGCGGGTGACTCGTCTCGGAAGTCAACACGGTCCATGAGTTCGTCGAGGGTCGTGGCATTCTCCTTGCGCTTCGAGTGGCGCTTCTTGGTGAATTGCTGGACTTTGCGACGCCTCTTGAGGTTGACCTGCAATGCTTTGCTGAGTGTAGCGGAGAAGATGAAGGTCTGCATGTTGGCGTTCGGCTTGACGCCGTGCGACTCTACCTCCGACTCGTCGTCTTGATCCGAGTCGCCGCCTCTTTGCTGGCCCTCCTTCCCTTCCGATGGGCGCCTGGCTTCGGAACGGTTAACGAGGTTGAGAATATGTTCCATCTCGGCGAAGTGGCCCACTTCGACCATCCTGTCGGCTTCATCGAGCACCAAGAAGCGTGTTTGCTTGATCCGCGCCGCCAGGTGATCGTCCAGCCGCGTCATTTCCCAGAGACGACCGGGTGTGGCAACGATAATGTCGACCCCGGCCTTGCGATCGCCCTGCCTGAAGCGCCCTTCGAGCAAGCGACGCTGCTTTTGCTCCGACATGCCACCGCAGACGACGGCGATCTGAGGACGGCGCAGTAGCTTCTTGTGCGAAATCTCTGCCTCGTCGTCGTCGGCATCAGAGACCAGGCAGCTGGCTCGAACAAGGTCGGTGAGATGCGAGGACACCTGAAGTGTCAGTTCACGTGTGGGACAGAGAATCAGAGCACCCAGAGGCGGTGGCACATCTTCTGCTGACCGTGAGCGAGAAGACGATGCAACAGCGTTCTCGGCGTTCTCAAAGAGGTAGTTGAGGATGGGGAGACCATAGGCCAGCGTCTTACCGCTTCCAGTCTGAGAAACACCGATTACGTCACGCTTCTTTCGCGAGCTGGATGCCGCAGCGGCGGCATCGTCTGAGTCGTCCGAGGAGGCTGCGTCTTGCTGCAGACCAAGGGCGAAGGGGATGGATCGATTCTGAATCTCTGTTGGCTTGCTGAAGCCCTTTTGGGCGAGCGCACGCTTGATGTCGGCGTGCAAGGGGAGATGCGACCACGCTGGAAGAACGGCATTATCGAATTCGGCATCAGCCTCCTCGTCGTCCTGCAAGTCGAGCTCGTGTGCATTGCGGAAAGCCTCGGCCAGATCGTCGTCGTCCAGATCCAAATCCGAGTCTCCTGCAGCGATGGCCTCTTCGCCTTCAGCAGCTGGCAGTGTGAAGTCGGCTGCTGTTTCATATTGGTCCGAGGCCGCCTCATCGAATTCTTCGGTTGCGGCTGTGATGTCAGCGTCTTGAAGAGAGTCTAGTGTCGCATGCTCATCGACATCGGAGGCGACCTCTTCAACCGGCCTCTTCTTGAGCTGCTTCTTCTTTGGCTTCTTCTTCAGGGCGACGGGCTCGGCAAAATCTAGTTTGGGAGTTGGCTTGGCCTTCGTTTGCTTGCCTTTGAGCTTGTTGTCCGACGCAAGAAAGCTAATGGTGCGCGAGCCATCGTCACGAGATTCCTGAACGACATCAACATCGTCGATCTCCTGCAGACCCATGAAATCGTCATCGTTCCAGTTGAGCGTGTTGAAGAAGTCGGATTCGGTGACACCAGCTCCTCCCGACTGCGCTTCGGAGGGAAGATGGACGGTGGACCATGCTAGCTTTGTAGGGTCGACGCTCTTTCGGTTCTGCTTCCGGGAAGCAGCTTTTGATGACGAAGCTGTTCTGCCGTTGCCAACATGCTTGCCGCCCGGCGCTAGCGAGCGTGCCTTTGATGAGGATGCTTCCTTGGCCATAGTGTGTCGGTCCGGCCCGGCGAGGAGGTGATGAGTGTGAAGGGGTAGCGTTGTAAAACGGCACAGCTCTGTCAAAAAAGTGTCAAAAAGGCAAGAAGAATGCAAAATTTCTGGGCTTCGGAAGTCGGAAAGGTGGAGAAGAAAGCATGCAAAGAGAGCTTGACGAGATGTCAGGAAGTGGCGATGCACTCGCTCTGATCCAGAACATCTTCCGCAGTACAACTGGCCCTCCTCAGCACTTGCAGATCGAAGTGACAGCAGCGATATGAGCACAAGCGTAGGAGCACCAGCTGTGGAAGAGCATGAGAAGGAGAAGGCAGCTTTGCTCGACGAAGAGGGAGACCTGACGCCCAAGGTGAGTTCTTGTGTAGACACGTTGCAGACGAGAGCACACCTGCTGACCGCCGCTCTTCGTGACATCTGCCTTGGACAGTTTGAGGCTGCTCTTATCCGAATCTTCGCTCGCTTCTCTTCGTCGTACAAGGAAGCGCATCCGGACGTACAAGCTTCGGGAAGCGGGTCGTCTGCATCAATACCGCGCCCGGAAGCAACAGACGTCTTGACAGAAGCAGATTTGGACGCTTTCTCGACGGCTACGAATGGAGCTGCACTACCTCAAGAGTCCAAGGATGAGATCCGCGAGTTCCTGGATATCGACAAGGATGGCAATCTGACATTGCGCGGGTTCATCGAGATGTACCACCTGCAGAGCGACAACGATCCGGAAGAGACATGGAAGGACCTGAGCAAGCTTGGATTCAGCAGCAGTCTCGAGTACGAGGATGAGAGGAAGCAAGCGACCGAGACGAAGGCAGCGGGCGACTCGGCCACAGATCAGGTAGCAGATAGCAAGAATTGATATGTAGTCGAAGCCAACCGGACAACGATGATTCCCTCGCTTCGCCCCCTGATCTGCGATACATCGTGAGCGTACGAGAATGAAGCTACATAGATGCTGACTGACACGGCCGACCTGAGATAGACCTCTACAGACCCAGCCAGGCAAGGTCACTTGAGGTCATCAGCACGTCCAATTGACCTCAATTTGGAAAGTGCAGGCTCCGAAAATCGAGTGAGAAAAGGTGGACCAAAAATTGGTCACCAACTGATCTGGCTCGGATGGAAATGCGAGCAGACAGCAAACGAAGCGTCGGCTGAAGAGAAGGCAAGCTCGGACGAGCTCGTCTTGACTTAAATAGGCACACAGACGAGATCGTCTCTGCGTCACAAAGATCGACGCAAGTGAGCCCGGCAGAGCAAACAACGGCGGCAAGGAGCATATGGAAAACGCATAAAGACGGCAAAGGCTTGCCAGCAAGTGGGAGACCGAAAGGGCAAGCACGGCAAGACTCGCCTGGAACTCAAGAAAAATGAGGAACTTGGCGGTGCACGTCGCAGATCATTCGCCTTGCCAAGCGAGACCACGGCACATGGGCAGTTGATCTGTGTGACGACTTAGGCAGCAGCAGACGCGCACCTCTTGTGACTTGAAGAGAGAGTGAGCCTGGAACCGCTTTGAATTTTGGTGGAAATTGGATTTCCGATTTTGCAGCGTCGCTCCTCGCTCTCCACCGGCCGCATCGATCTGCAGTCACAGTGCGTGTGGGTGCGTCGCAGCTCAACCACAGCCCGCTTCAAGCACTAGACAGCCGCGCTCCTAGCCAAACAACGTTAATAACATAGGCTGAAAATCCACAGACTGCTCTACTGCCGTATTTTCGTATCGCTCTCGCTCGTCTTTCTCCTCTTCCATCACCCATCACATCCGACAATCTCTGTTGCTTCATCCTTTCTTCGAGAAGTCACTATCGCAACCGCCGACTCTGCCGTTGTCACATCAGCTCGCCACGCAACAATATCAGCTCAAACTACGGCGCATCCGAACCTGTGACTAAGACGGTTCGCTCCTCGAATCATCACTCGATTCAACTGCTCAGCATCCACGCCAGCTCAGGTGATCCATCTTCGGCTCGAAGACTTCATCAGTTTGCTATAGCAGCGAGCGCGTTACGAAAGACTACATCAGCCTCGACGGACTGCCACCATCTGTCAACGATACTCGCATCATCCGAACGACTCAGCCTTCCACGTTGACAGCTGCCGACAGCTCATAGCCCATCATGTCGGCGGTCTACTCCATCTACACGTCGCCCAACCATGCGCCCATTCCTAATCATCTCCCCACTCTCATCGTGACGCCTTACGGCCAGCCGCATCACACTCTCTATTCCTACATCCACACCAACTTCAACAAGGAGACCTACCTCCTAACCCCCTCCCCTCAGGGCGACCTTTGTGTCGCCAAGATGGTTCCTCCCCCCGGCTCCCGAGGCTCGGGTGGCCCAGGCTCCTCCGAAGGTGGTCATTCGAGTGGTCACGACAACAAAACAGTGCGCTGCGAGGCCTCGCGCAATCTCAAGTGGTCCATCACCAATACCGGCATCAACGCGCCAGTATACAAGCTCACTCTCCCAAACCCCGACGCACCTGGCCACGAGCAACCCCTCTTCCAAATCTCAAAACCAAATCCCAACGCAACTTGGTGGTCCATGTTCTACTTCACATACGCTGGCCACTTAATCCCACCAAAGCGGATCGAGTTCGGCAAGATTCAGAAGAATGCAGCAGCAGGCAGCGGCGGCGGAGGCGGAACACGCGTCACTATCGCTGGAAAGACACCAGAGGAGAAGGCAGTTTGGCAGACGCTTGGTGAAGGAAACGAGGACATGGTCGAGTGGATCGTACTTTGCGCTTCGCTCAATGTGCTCGATGACGAGATCATCAAGGCGGCGCAAGGTAGCGAACCAAGGCCAAGTGGTCCGGCTCCAAAGGCCGTTCCTTCCAGTCGTCCGGCCGTAGGGGCTGTTCGTGCTGCCAATCCTCCAGGCAAGCCCATCATGCCCATTCCGCAGGGCGGTGTCAATACCGGCTACAGGGGTCCCAGCCAGGCCACCGGTCCTCCTATGCGTGCTGGCCCTGGCCCGCAGCCCAACCCACAAATGTACCAGCAGCAGCGCGGAGGTGCGCCGCCTCCTCAGGGCTACCGAGGCCCTCCTCCGGCCGGCCAGCCCATGCCTATGCCACAACCGGGTTACGCTCCACCACCTCAGCAAGGACGCGGTCCTGTCCCAGCGAGCAACGGTCGTCGCTTCTAAGCGTGAGAGTATCTCTGCCTTTCGATGAAGGCGCCTGCCAGAGAAGCGTCGGTTCACTCATAAGCCGAGCGTTGTCGCTTCTGGCTTGCGGCTCTGACCTCCCAGAGTCTCTTGAACACGGCTGCCGCGCTCTTGGCACTGCATGGCCCATTCGAACAGTCCACCAACTCCCGATCCCTGTACATAATTTCCTCTCCACTGCCTCCCTCTCCCACATTGCTTGTATCTTGCACCTGTGCTTGTACTCTGTCTCTCCTTTCTTGACGCTCTTTTGCTTATTTCGTCCACGCTCTTCCCACATGCATTTCTCACGCTTCTGTCGGCTTTCTACGAACAATCTATTTGCGCAATGGCAGTCTAGTCCTGCTTTCAAAGTGTCCGTGGCTACAAACGGTGACCTTACAATGGCTTGACGCCAAAGAGGGTTCGGAACCGTTCGAATAGCTGTTGTTGGCAGAGACGGGAGGAATGAGAAAGAACATAACAGGTGAGACAACAGCCAGCAGAAGCGGACGAGGTTCGAGGTGCTACTTACTATCAATGAGATCACGGTGTGAGACCCGAGACGAGCCCAGCACATCCCGAAGCTGTGACAAGGCATAATTGTAGGGTGTTAGCATATCTGTCTTGTCTCCCGTCGACTGTCTCTCAGACTCACCCTTTATAGAGCGCCAGGGGTCCCTCGTTAGCAACCAGCTTGCCTAAGCAATCCATCGCATTCTTGAACTGCCTCGACTTGTCCTGCATCAAGCGCACCTTGACCGTATCGAAAGGAGCGCTCGTCACCGAGCACACTAATCCGGCCACCATCGAGGCAGAGAAGTGGAGCGCAAAACCCTCCTGCAGCACTTGATTCGCTTTCAATACGGTCTTGACTTGGTCGTAAGAGGCAATTTGGGAGCTGGTGAGTACGGCCGCTCGGATGATGGTTGGGCCTACGCCGCGGTAGAGACTTCGCATGCCGCCGACGAAGCCGTTGCCTTCGCGGTAGACGTGTCCGAAGGCGACGAATGTGTTGCGGTAGGGGGGCTGGCCCGTCGGTCGTACTGCTTGCATTCGGACTGTCGAAGTGTAGGGACAGGTGGGCTGGGTCAGTAGACGCTTCACATCGTTGCACGTGGTCCGTACAGGACTCACCTTTGATCAAATCTGTCGGACAGGCGAATGCACTCCCAATCGCACCACTCGAGATACCACTCAGCGCCTTCAACGCAAAGCTCGTATCCGCTACGCCCAATGCCTTGCCATAGAAGTCCTTAAACGTCTCGTACAGTCCGAATCGCACCGTACTGTACGTCAACTCTCTCAAACACGAAGCAGTGACACCATTCCAGAGCGCCTTGATGCCCTCCTTGCGGATCATCTCGCCCGCGACACCGACAAAGTTGGCCCGCGACTTGTCCACCAGCAGTTGCTGCCGCACCTTGACGATATCCGCTGGGTTGGTACATGCTGCGGAGATGGCGTTGCCCAGACCTGCGGATGCGAAGGTCGCGGCTAGGGTGTAGGAAGGCGAATGTGTGGTCGGTGGGGCCGGGGTCGTTGGGTTGTGCTGCGGATGCTCGGCGACGGCGACTGCTTCGTCGCGGGTCAGTGACGACGCCGGCGTAAGCCTGGACGATGAGGATGACATGGCTGGGACGTCGAAATGACCCGAGGAGACGGGGCAACAGCTGATGACAACGAGAGCAGCAGTAAGTATCAACGTAGCCGATGTGAAGGGATGAGACGCAGCTGCACGAGCGTACGAAGCTGTCGTCGTCGCCATCGCTGTCATTGTTTCGGCTTCTTCGTCGGCTATTACGACCGACCTCGCTTCCCCGCATCGGTTTTTTCGCGTCGAAAAGCCGCATTGTTGCGGTCTTACATCTTCGAAATCAATGTGAGGTCTAACACCTGTCCCAAGATGCGATCATTCACTCATCGGCGATGCTGCGATTTGAAAATTGCTGCGTGATCCAAGCTCGGCCGAGCATTGCCTTGGGCCACACGTGACCATATGTGGTTCGTGTCGGTAAATGTGCGGCAGCAGACGGCTTTCCGGATCCACAGCCAAGCTCGACGCTGCAGGATCGCTCAATTGCAGGCCTGCGCTAGAAGGCCAGTGTTCGAGGCCACACTGCTGCTGAGTGACAGCGTACGCCAAGTCAAGTCATTCGAGGTCACGATCAACAGTCCGGTTTCTCCTTCTCCACCTATCGTCAAGTATCCATACTCGATATCTCATCACATCGTCAAAATGGCTTCCTCGTAAGTGTTGCCAACAGCTACAGACACCACGCCATAGCAAAGCGAATCGCATTCTGACCAAGTAACCAACCTCCAACTCTTCCATTATTGCTACCTGCATCCGATCGACACTCGCATCGCACCAACCCATCATGGCATCTATCACCAACAACAGCGATCTTGCCGCCACTTACGCTTCGCTCATCCTCGCTGACGAGGGTCTCGAGATCACCGTACGTATATTGCATCGACACTATGGAAGCAGAAGGTCAAGCAGCAAAGAAGGATTGGAAGATTGGCATTTGCATCAGCACTAGCATCAGCACGAGCATCAGCACGAGCATCAGCACGAGCATCAGCACGAGCATCAGCATCACACAGCAACGACACCTGCAACAGCGCGAGAGCAGTGCCAGCAGAGATGCATGATCATCGCATCGACTACGCAGCAGTTCAAATCAACACGACCAGGCGCCCGTATGTCGGAGGAACGACAATTGGACCAAAAGGAGCGGCATGCAGCATGCATGGTACTGGGACACATCAGTCGACAAAGAAGCCTAGGATGATCTGTGACCGCGAAGACGGACGTTCGGCCTCATCGTCGGGCTTGCCCAGTCATCAGCATGGACACAGCTCGGAAGGATGCGTTGCACCCTCGACGGAGAATAGCAGTCGTCTCCCGACGTCGGCACGCAGGACTTGCAGATGTCGCTAGTTGGGTTGTGCCAACGTCCGCGTTCGAGTTTCCACGTAGGAAGTCCAACAGCAGTACAAACTCACATGTCGTCGCCGGATCAACGTGTCGACGCCAGCCCAACTTCGTTCAGTCGCTGCAGGCATGTGCCATCGTGCGAGGATCTCGGATCGTTCACACGACCCGACGGGAAAGAATCATCATCGACGTTCTGCACCTGCGCACATTGAAGTGCCCACGTCTCTCGACATCCCTCGCCGCTGCTCTCTGTGCACACTCTCGACCTGCTTGCTGCGACCATCTTCCGATCTTGTCTTCACGCCGTCTTCCTCTGCTTCCAGGTTCAACCTTCGACCGTGTCTTTCGACAAACACTGACCATTCCACTATCCTAATTGCATGCCTCACCCAACAGTCCGAGAAGATCGTCCAGCTGACCACCGCTGCCGGTGTGCCCGTTGAGCCCATCTGGGCCACCCTCCTGGCCAAGGCCCTTGAGGGCAAGGACGTCAAGGAGCTCCTCACCAACGTTGGTGGTGGTGGTGCTGCCGTCGCTGTCGCTGCCCCTGCCGGTGGTGCCGCCGCTGCTGGTGGCGCCGCTGCCGAGAAGGAGGAGGAGAAGAAGGAGGAGGAGAAGGAGGAGTCGGACGACGACATGGGCTTCGGTCTCTTCGACTAAACGTCTCGCGTTTCCGATCCACCAACTTCTTGCCACGCTTCTCGATTCTCTTCGAAATGTATCATCAGCATTCACATTGGCTCGCGATTCGCACCCTCGCACCCCGCTAGGCATCCTTTGATGCTTCGGTGAGCGTGTTGACGCGCGGATCAGCCTCCATCATCACACAAACACACCCAAATACACAAAGCGTTTCTCTAGCCCTTTGCTACCAATCTTGGACTTCCTTGCGAGTGCGTGTCTGAGGTCCCGTTGGACATGATGCGACTGCTCCGCATCGTGTGCTGAATGCTCGTGAGGCATCTCATCGTGACCACCCACGTCCACACACGGAATTGCCGACGACAATTCAACGAACACAAAAGGATGAGATGACACGAAGGTCCTGATTGTGGTCTGGCTTTGAATTGAGATGCATTGCTGTCACGCCCCTCGTCGTTGGAAAAGGAAGCATCCCTCGTAGCCATACATGTTGTCGGGCGTAAAAGTGTCCCTCCATCTGCCGACGAGCTTGCCCCCTGCCACCGAGTAACCTCGATACAGCCACTTGCCTCTCCCGTCTGGACGGTACTCCTTCGTCATGATGAGCATTCCATCCCAGCTCCTTACTCGACCGCGGACGACAAAACGACCCCAGGCAGAATGGCCCGTTCCCGACAGGAGGATCTCGTACCTCTCCCTGCCGTCTTCGTCCGGGAACGACGGGTACCGATCCCAGTCCTGTGGCAACGCTTTGGACTTTCCCTTCGTATCCACCGCCAGTGCCGCTGCTGCCAAGCTGGCATCCCCGTGCGGCTCAGTCGTCGTATAACCAGCAGCCAATATGCTCCCCTTCCCTCCTTCGACATCGCCCGGTCCGAGCTGAACGATCTTCTCCCGGATCTTCCAGATCTGCGGCTGCTCCCCGAATGGCCCTTCGTACAAACTGCGCATGCGACCCGCCAGCATCTCGCGGTACGAGTCAAAGTCGAAGAAGCTAAAGCGGCCTTCCCAGATGCCTTCGAACATGCCTTTGAAGAACAGGGGGGGTAGGCCGGGCGAGCGTGTGGGATCGAGGCACGAGAGCAGGCGGGTCACGTCCTTGTCGTGGTCCGAGGAGGTCAGTGTGAGTGGGGGACGGGTGGATGCGGGTTGGCGGACGGTAGTCTCGGAGCTCGGATCGTCTGGGTCGGAGAGCGCGGCCATGCTCTGGACCGCTTGGTCCTTCTCGACTTTCATGAAGAAGGAAAAGCAGGCACCTTGGGCGAGGATAGGTGGGGCAATGCGGAGCTGTCCGCCAATGTGGTCCACCAGGCAGCTGCGGTCGCGAGGCGTGAGGTCGGCCAAGAATGGGTTCGTTGCTAGTGTTGGTCCACCGGGCGCTTGCTGCGCTTCCTCTGTCGATTGTTGGGTATCGCTAGACTTCGAGCCGTTTGCACTCTTGCTCTGATTTGATGTTGGCAGATTACGGAGCGTCCATGGTGCCATGAAAGCGTCGAACTTGTGCGCTGCGAACACGAAAGGTCGCAGGATGAACAATCGCTCGATCGCTTCTCCCTTGGGCTCGAAAGCCAGCTGCTCGGGATCGGTGAGCAAGTAGACCAAGTGCAACGCCAGCGCCTTATGGACGGCATCCGATGGGTATCCTGCTTGTACTGCGCTGTCCAGCATCTCGGTGGCATGATGAAGCGCCAAAAAGCTGTGTAGCTGCGCCCAGCATAGCTGCTCGTAATTGAGTCCGTCATTCTCGAGCATCATCAGATACGCCAGCCAAAGCATCTCGGTGATGGATTCATCATCCTCGAGCAGAGTCGCGCCGTCATCTGGACGCTGCGCTGCGGTGACAACGCACTTTCGCATGCGTTTGAGCAGGATGCATCGTCGACGAAGCTCGTTGGCTAGGTGGTGTGCTGTCAATGCGGTTTTACCGAACCGTCGCCCGATGGCGGCCGTGTCGAACTTGCTGCAGAACACTCGAGCGTAGAGATGCGGATTTGATTCGAGGCTGAGGAGCGAGTGAAGGCGCCTGCAGACGAGCTGGAAAGCATGCAGGTCTGTAGGTGGAGTGACGACCTTTGATTCTCGTAGCGAGGAGTTGTAGAGAAAGCTGCATGGCGCAGAAGTAGAAGAGGACTCGAAGGACGTGTCGGAGATGGCAGCATAGCCTGCAATGCTGTCGAGAATCTCTGGTGGTAGGGACAAGAGCCCTACCTTGGAGGACTCGCCGTTCATGGTGGTCGTTGGAGCGAGAGACTTGAGAAGACCGCCTCTGTGTTGACAAAGATGTATTGACGAGGCAGACCAAGCAAAATTGCAGTCGGGGACCGCTGTCCCGCTTGACTGCCGATCGAAGCGACGCTTTTACGGTCGATAAGATGTCGCTGCTTGATCGAAACAGAGTCAATGGATGGCGTAGGAAGCTGAGTTAAGGAGTGGGCTGATTCAGAGAGTGGAGAGTGCGGAGTAGCGTGGCGTCGAGATTCAAGGCGAAATGCCCGGCTCTGCGCTCAATTTGAGTAGCCGAGCTTAAATCTGGCCGTTCGGCTGCAGTTGAGGCACAGGTGCGTCAGTCCTTCGACCATCTCAGTGAACAACATCGCATCCAGACCACAAACAAACAATGAGGTCCCTTTTGACTTAGATGTGATATCTATCGACAACGGTTTCAGTAGAGCGCCGTTCATACGAGCTTGAGACAGGCTCAACCGGTGTGAGCAACAACCTCGGTCTTGATGCGACTCTTGCCCTTCTGACTGAGGCTGTCCACCGTGTGTTTGAGCTGTTCTGGCAAGGCGAACTCCTCAAACTCGCCCTCCTCGCCACCTGCCACCGGCAGGCTGACGTTGATGGCGCTGCACTTGGCCGCGATGATCTCGGAATCCAACGACTTCTCCGAGAGGTAGATCTGACCACTGTCACACGAATCCAGCAGGATGGTGGGCGCACGTCCCGTGATTTGCACTGCGAACGATGGCGAGCCCGTCACCTCCAACGAAGAGACGAGCGTGTCGACGAGGATCGACGTCTTGGTGCAGTTGGTCATCTGCACTGCATTGATCTTGCCCTTGATCTGGATGATGCTGTTCTTGCAGTTGAAAATGTTGACCGTCTGGTTGAGCTCGGTCTGATCCACGACAATCGAGCGGTTGTCCTCCTGGAATTCAATCGTCCACTTGTTGCCGTCCAACTGCATCTTGGGCGGCTTCTTCGCCTTGAGCTGCGTCGGCTTGGCAGCCAACTTGGGGGGTGCAGCCTTGGTGGGAGGGATCGCGCTGGTCCCTCGCAGTTCGGGGTTCTTGTGTGTCATCTGGCTAGCATCCACCTTTTTGAGACCCTTGGTGACACCTTCGCCCTGATTGAGCTGGCCGAAGACGGCCCCCATACCACCTGCGGCTGCGCCACCAGCAGCAGCGCCGGCGGACACGTCTCCAGCAGGAGGCGGCGGAGGAGGCGGTGGAGGTGCACCTCCGGAAGGAGCCGCACTAGAAGACGCCGTGAAGGATGCAGCATCGCCACCCTTGGGATTCCAAACAAGCCCAGTGGTGTGCGTCTTGAGCACGTACGTCTTGAGAGTCTCCAGCAGCTTGGTGAACGAGCGCGTCCATTCGACGTGTGTCTTGTCGGTGTCCTTGAAATCCTTGATCACACGATTGGCATAGAACTGAGCACTGTCCTTCATCTCGCCGACATAGGGACCAGGCTTGGGTTCGACCGCAACCCATCCTACGGCGGGGATCCCTTCGCTGACGGTGCTGAGATGGTTGAAGTGCTGCTTGTCGGCACGGTTCTTGTCGCGTGTCTCGATGACCTGGGTGAGGGCCGTCTGGAGCGGCTTGAGCAGCTCGGCGAATGCAGGAGAACTGACACCTCCCGCTGGCTTTTGACTGGACGCAGCGAGCAGGATCAGATCGCGCTGTGCCTGGAAGGTCTTCAATACGCTCGTAGCTTGTTCCTGCACTACACCGCCGATCTTGGCGCTGAGCTGCTTGAACTCGTCGAGCGCCTCTTGCAGCGCCTCATCGTACGCTTTGACTGCCGGAGGATCCTCTTTCGGTGCTTCGACCGCAGCAGGTGGAGGTGGGGGAGGGGGAGGAGCGGAGCTGGCGGCGACAGCAGGCGCTGCAGATGGGAGCTCCCTTTGAGACGAGGAGGGACCAGATGACTGATGAAGAGCAATGTCTTCCAGGCGTGAAGTAGCTGCCTCGAGTCTTTTGACCGGGTGGGTGTGCAGGGGTGGAGCACAGAGAAGCAAGAAGTCAGCAATCGAGATGCGAGAACCTCGTCGAAAGCACGGATGCAGGGTGTGCCTACCTCTTGATGAGAGTGCTCAGGTTACCGATGCCTGGCGCCGACATGATGTTGGGACGGATGGATGAGCGATCGAAGATGGGGTTGAGAAGAGATGAAGGTGAGTGGGAGCGGTGCAACCAAACAAACACACACCTTCGGACGTGCGTGGATGGCAGTGTCAAAAGCACAGGCCAATTTCCACACGACTCGAGATTCGCGCGGTTCGAATTTGCTCCACAGCTTGCAACCTCACGCTTTCACTGCAATCAGATCCTGTAATGGATGGTATATTGGAAGCAGAGTCTGTAAAGGGACAGGGTACTCAAACAACATGATGATAGTGAAGGAAAGGCACAAGTACACTGACGGTGGAGAACGATACAGATGAGGACGTGGTGACCAGATGCAGGAACGACAGAGGAGAAAGAGGAGCGAGCGTAATCAGTCGTCGCGGCTCTTGAGAGCAACAGCGGCCTGGATCTCGCGCAGTTGACCAGTGACATCGCCCTTCATCTTGCTAAGCAGCACGACAAAGTTGAGCATGTCCTCGTCCATCCGCGATCGCTGTTGGCTCCATTCTTCCTCCTTGTGCTCGGCAGTGAGCTGAAGGCTTGTCAACCGGGATTCGGCCTGTTGCAGATGAACGCTTCCAGAGGACTCGGTCTCGTAGGTAGATCTCTCCAGCTTGCCCTCGTCGGCCTTGTAGCGCTCCTGCACCGTCTTGCAGCTCTTCTCGTACTCGGCTGCTTGCCTTGACAGCGCCTCGCATCGCTCTCGGTCCGAGGCGAGCTGCGTCTCTTGCTCGGACAGCGCTTCCTGCAGCTTCTCGTACTCTTCCTGCATTGTGAGGCGCTTCTTGGAGGCGTGTCGATACTTGTCGGCTTCCTGAGACCGCAGCGTCTCGATCTGTCGACGGAAAGATCCCTTGATGTCGACGCCGGATTGCAGCATGGTCGACGGATTCGAAGGCGTTAGCTCGAGCTCTTCTACGACACTGCCAGAGCCGAGACGGAAGGGCAGCAGCGAAATGGAGCGCGCCAAAGGGTTGAACTTGGAGATGCGGTCCTCGGTGTCAGCTTGCTTCTTTGCGATGGCGATTTCGAGAGACCAGCCGTCGCCAGCCGCCTTCTTGTTTTGCTCGCCCAGCACTTCAAGACGCTTGCTGAGTCGGTTTCTCTCGGCCAGCATCCTCTCGTACTCTTCCGCCGACATCTCCTGCGCGTTGACCTGCTCTTGCAGATCGACCCTGCGCTTGTTCTTGTCGTCGATCTCCTTTTCAGTGAGCGCGATCTCCTTGATGAGCCTCTCGATAGCCTTCTTGGTTTTATCGAGCTTCGGTACGAGCACCTCGTCGTAGTATTTGTGAAACTTGGAGATGTCTTTGGTGAGCATGTCGTTCTCGCTGCGTTCAATCTTGAGCGGCGAGTCGTTGTTGAGGTAATCCGCAAGTTCGGCCTCAAGCTTGCGGTGCTCCTCTTGGAGCTCCTTGAGTTCGCGCTCTATTGAGGCATTCTTGTCCTCGAAGCGGACACCAAGCTTGGCGTGCTCTTCCGGGTAGGTGTCCTCATTCTGCCAGAATCGGTCGTAGCAGTCCCAGAGGTAAGGGAAGAAGAGCGACTGCAGGTCTTCGATCTCGTCGGGCCGCGATCTGGGACCGGTTCCGATGGTCTCTGCCTGATTGCCCAGGTTGACCATCCACTCGAGCATGGCGAGACAGTATGGCCAATGGCTCTGACTTCCGGCTGCTGTGAGTTTGGTCTTGCTGAGCTCATCGGCGGCGGGGTACTTGATCTCCTTCATGAGCGTAAGCACCTCGTCCTCGAACTTCTTTCCATCTGCGCCCATGACAAAGTTGGTGTCGATGCAGCTGGCGTAGATGTGCTTGAACATGCCGACGAAAGCAGACTGGGTGGGTTCGTGGACACCCTTGTTGGCATCCCAACCCGCCATGGTGAAGCCAGTGCGCTCGAGATGCTCCTTGACAGTGAGACCCATGCGCGTCTTGTAGTGCTTGTCCTTGATCGGACGAGTCTCCCTGACACCCGATCCGCCCGTGTTGCCAATGTTGCCGGGAGCAATCGAGAGCCTGCCTACCATGGACCTCCTCGAATTTGGTGTTGCGACTACAGCGACGCTCTGGCGTCCCGCAGAAGCGACGCTCTGCCTACCAGCGTACATTCCCGAGTCACCTCTGCGACCACTCTGCTGCCCTGGATGAGCTGGGCCCGAAGTCTGTGAGTTGAGCTGCGCGTCCCTGGCATTGGCCGTGGTTGCGCTGACCTGACGGACGGGGTTGGACTGTTGCGGGATCATGGACGCGCGAGGCTGAAAGGTGCCGCTGGTGATGGTCTTGACTGACTTGACGGCCGAAGTGGGTACTGGTAGAGCCGAAGTGATGTGGCCATTGTTCTGGTTTGGATCGATGGCTGCGAGCGTCGAGCGACGCGTGTTAGTGCTCGCCATGTTGGCGGAGGGTGTTTGGTTGTGGTGGGAATAGGTGTCGGCTGCTGTGGCTACCAAGCCCGTCTTGACAAAGATCGAGAAAGAACAACGCTTTGCTAGGATGTACGTGGGAGAAGATAATATGAGATGATGGTAGCAAAGTGAAGATGGATGGATGTCCGAGCCAACGACGATGGCTGGCTGCCTCGCCCACAAGATAGGTTGATTCACTCGTCTATCCAACACTTTTTGTCGCTCCAGACAGAGAGGATCCCGCAAAGAGAGCAACAAAAACACGCGTCGCGAGCATTCTTGATCGGCTTAACATACTCACGTGACTTTGTAAATTGGAATTCTCCAGGCTCAGTCCCTGCATCTCTGTGACGCAATGACACCCCCGCACACTCTCAACGTCGCTGATAGATATCACCTCGTTCCGTCCGCCGGGCATCGACGACGAGAATTTGAAAGACTGAGCTGGCTCCTCTGCACTCTACTCTGCTGCCATTCGGGTGCAGTGACGCCGCTTGCAGTTGTGAAGCACCGTCTCTGGCTCAAGTGGATTGCGTTGGGTCTTTGCTCATCAACCGGCCAATTGACCAGAAATATCGTGAAATGCACTGACCAGAAAATTCCGCCGTCAGCAAGCGTTGGCGTCATATCATTGCTTTCGAGTTGCACACCAACACCAAGCTCTTCTCACCGCCTCTGCCTCTTCTCGTCATCCATCAACATCAGCCTGGGCCTGTAGCACGCCCTTTGCTACGCTGCAGTGCTGATAGCATCGGAAGGAACCCTGCAGCACCTTATCCCTCCCGCCGCCGCGAGCTGTCGCTGGCGTACGCCACTTCGATCCCAACGCCGCCTTCCGCATGCCCAGGCCGCCGACACACTCGCCCGTCACGGGTGAGCCAGTTCCAGACTACTATATACACGCTTCTGACGCCTTCTTCCGCGATACAAAAGGACGCGCCCTCCTCCTGCGGGGCGTCAATCTGTCCGGTCAGAACAAAAGCCCCATTGGCCAACCATCACAAAAGCTTCAAGGCTTCTGGGAATCCGCCGAGTCAGGTGGAGAATCGTTCGTAGGTCAGCCACTCAACCTTCAGGATGGCTCGGCAGACGTGCATCTCGCTCGCCTCCGCTCTTGGGGCTTCAACTGCTTGCGCTACGTCTTTACGTGGGAGGCCATCGAGCACAGAGGTCCCGGCCAATATGACACCCAATACCTCGACTACACCGTCGCCGTCCTCCGCAAAGTCAAGCAGTACGGATTTCGAGTGTTTATGGATCCACATCAGGACCTCTTCTCCCGCTTTACCGGTGGTTCTGGTGCACCTTACTGGACCCTCATCGCTTGTGGAATGAACCCTCGCAACGTTACTGCTACGCAGGCCGCCTTCCTCCAAGCAGAGTGGCCCAGCGCAGACAACCCGGACCCAGCCGACTTTCCCGATATGCTATGGGCAACCAACTACACTCGCCTCGCCGCCGCTTCCCTCTCCATTCTCTTCTTCGCTGGCCGACACTTTGCTCCCCGATGCATCATCGACGGTCAGAACATCCAAGACTGGCTACAGTCCCATTTCCTCAACGCCTGCAAACAGCTTCTCGACAAGATCGTCGCCGCAGGCGATCTCGTTGACGAGTGTGTCATCGGTTGGGACAGCGTAAATGAGCCAAATCAAACCTACATCAGCCTTGAGAGCATCTCCAGCATCCCTAAATCATGGCAGCTCAAAAAGGGCCCTGTCCCTACCCCTATCCAAAGCTTTCGTCTCGGAGCTGGCCAAGCTCAGACAGTTGAAAATTGGGTCTTCAGCTCACTCGGACCCAAACGTAGCGGCTCCGTCGAGGTGGATCCAAAGGGAAAGCTGGCTTGGTTGACAGAGGAAGAGGACGAGGTTCAGGGTGGTTCCAAGTGGGGTTGGAAACGCGACGAGGCTTGGCCACTTGGTCAATGCCTTTGGGCTGCTCACGGCGTTTGGGACCAAGCCACCGGCGAGGTCCTCAACGACGCTTACTTCCGCTGCTTCGAAGGCCCTGCTGGTACCAGACCCGCCGAGTTCGCCGAGGATTACTGGCTGCCACACCTCCGAGAGTACGCAAGTCTCATCCGGTCGGCTCATCGCGAAGCCATCATGTTCATTCAGCCACCCGTCTTCGAGCCACCACCCAAGTCACTTTCTCAGGATGATCTCAAGCAACGTGCGTGTCTCTCTGGCCACTTTTACGATGGTCTCACCCTCATCACCAAGCACTGGAATTGGTTCAACGCAGATGCTGTGGGTCTGCTGCGAGGCAAATACCGTGGTGTCCCCTTCGCAATCCGTATAGGCAACAAGGCCATCCGTCAATCTATCCGAGACCAGCTGGGCTATCTTCGTCAGGATTGTTTGGACGGCCTCGGTCAATATCCTACCCTGATTGGTGAGATCGGCATCCCCTATGACCTCGACAAGAAGAAATCCTACTACGGTGACAGCAAGGGACGAGGCATCGGAGACTATTCAGCGCAGACCTTGGCTCTCGATGCGTCGCTCAACGGCTGCGATGGCAAGAATCTTCTCAGCTACACTTTGTGGACCTACTGTCCAGACAACACGCATCAGTGGGGCGAGGATTGGAACGGCGAGGACCTCAGCATCTGGAGCCAAGACGACGTCAAGGGAGCTGACGCCGGCGACTCGTCCGAGCGAGCAAGGGCCGCGTCCGTATCGAGCGAACGCTCTAAAACTCTCAGTACGGTCTCGTCTGGCACCAATTCTAGATCCAGCATCAATCTGCCCGAGCTCGTCCAAGGCGCTGGCAACTACAATGCGCCCAGCCTGCTCAACGGCTCGCGCGCAGCTGCCGCCTTCTGTCGTCCATTTCCGGTGGCTACCGTCGGCACGCCTGCAAGCATCGACTTTGACATCAAGTCGTCCGAGTTCAGCTATGCTGTCGACATGACTGGCGCCGAGTTGGACGACGCCGGGCTCGCGACAGATATCTACCTGCCGTTCCTTCACTATGGCGCTGACGATATTGCTGCAGCTGCCAGCGGCGATCGCGGCAACAGGGGTAAAGGAACCAACAGAAGCAGAGAGAACAGCACCGCTTCCGAGCGCTGGGCTCGAAAGCAAGAGCAGAAGATCCGTTCTGCCGACTCTCTCGCATCTTCAACCTCGAGCCTCAACACCGGTGAGTCATCGAATTTCGACGACGACGTGTCATCCTCTTCGGGGTCAACCGTCAATGGCAACTCTACCGATCCTTCGGGAGCAGCCTCGACCAGGTCTGCCGCACAGCTAGCCGCCTTGGAGCAACTTCTTTCGCTCGATGTAGAGGTCTCGGCGGGTCGATGGGAAGTGGAAGGCCAGTATCTGAAATGGTACATCACGAAGGCAGAGGCCATCGCCGACGACGCCGGAAACCCTACCAACGGTGTCTTCCGCCATTCGATCAAGGTCAAACGCAAAGGCGGACCCGTCAAGCTCGAGATGTCGGGCAGTGCGTGGGACATCCTATGTTCCTGTGGCCTTCTCTAGAACCTCTCATCATTCACGCAACGGCATCTGTGCATTCGCAATCAGTTCATCGCATTCTCAATGTTGATCATCTTCACGCAAAGCAGAGCTCACATGAAGGGACGGATGTGTTCGGACGAGCTCTCACGACGTTGGAGAGACGGAGAAGTGAAGATTGAACGAGATGAAAGACACACATTTTGGACAGGCCAAAGGCGACAGTCCCGCAAACGACGAACCAGTCGTCGTGGGAACGTCGACGAGCATCAAGACGAAGAAACAAAGCATGCGAGAGAAGGCGAAGATTGACGTGCACGGGTGACGGTCGACGTCGAGGACCGGTCTCGACGCCCCCCTTTGTACCCTGTGTTGGACGGGGTCGTTCCTTCCGAAGGACCAAGGGCATTTGAAGCGAGAAAAGATGAAAAGAGGCTGACCGGCAGGAGAGAAAGTCCATGAGCACCCAGCTCCGGTGAGCCAAGCTTGGAGATGGCGTCTAAGAGTCGGCCTGCTCCTGGATGATCTTGGAGAGACCATCGTACAGATTAGCAAAGTTGTTGAGATTGCCGGTGGGGGTAGCGGCGGCAGCGGCGGCGGCCTGAGCAGCGGCAGCAGACGAGGAAGCAGCAGCCCTCGACTTGCTGGCACGAACACTGGAACGCGACTGAGCAGCGGCTCGGGAAGCGGACTGACTAGCGCGGGCGGCAGCCTTGGTGATCGAGGCGACGGAAGCGCGCGAAGCGGCGGCAGAACGAGAGGCAGCGGCAGATGACGAAGCGGCATCAGCAGAGGAAGAAGCGGCGGCGGCGGCAGATGCAGAGGCGGCAGCGGCGGACGAAGAAGCTTCAGCGGCTGCTGCTTGAGCCTGTTGCTGAGCCTTCTTCTTGGCAGCGGCGGCGGCGGCAGCAGCAGCCCGGCCATCATCGCCGTTGTCGTCGTTGTTCTTGTTACCACCATTGTTATTGTTGTTGTTGCCGCCATTGTTGTTGCCGCCGCTGTTGCCCGAGTTTCCGCCACCTTCGCCAGCAGGCCACCATGTGATGGGGAAGACACCAGTGCCAAGGCCTGTGAATTCGGTGAAGAGGCCGACGCTCATGTCGAGAGAGCCGTAGAAGCAGTTTCCACCACCAGTGGGGCAAGCGTCTTCAACGGTGGCGGTTGCGGTCTTTTGTCCGTTGGAAATGACGATGGTCTTACCGCACCACGAAGAGCGCTGACCCAGGTCACCGTACATGGGCTGGTTGAGGGCAACGACGTGCTCATTGGGGCTGAGGAAGCGACCGCAAGCACCAGCGTTACCGGTTCCGACGTCATACCAGGTGGCCATGCCCGAGTAGGTGGCGCGCTTGGCGAGGGCCTGCTCATGAGAAACAGGGCCCTGTTTGTGGTGTCGTCGGTTCATCGAAGTGGACATGTGAGACGAAGCCAGGGTGCTCGACACCAAGGCAGTGAGGACGACCGCTGCGGCAGCCTTCATGTTGGATAGATGCGAGATCAAGTCGGTGGTTGGTGCTGGAAGCAATATGCGTGACAGGTATGAATGTCGTTGATCCTCCCAAGATATCAAAGTTGAAACGAATGTATGATGTTGCACAACAGAGGCGGCGCGCGAGTCGTGAAACGGGAGAAGGAGGAACGAGCCGAAGTGGAGTGGATGATGAGACGGAGCGGAGTGGAGTGGAGTGGAACGATGAACGGATGGTGTTGGTGGAGATGACGATGGTGGTGATGAGAACTTAAAAGAGCGTGTGCAATAGGGCAAGCCATGGTGGAGCCACACGAGACGGGCTTGCCAGAACAAGCCTCTTGAGAAGCACGAGCAAAAGCAGCAACGACTCGCACTTGGCTGACTACCTCCCTTTGAGCTCGGGCATGGCAGCATCCCGACAGCGGAGTGACTGTGCGTGCATGCACTCTCTTGGCGTGTTGGCACAATTCCAGTCGTGGCAAGGGTCTCAGTGTTGGACTCGAGGGCTGGCAACAAGCGCGTCTGACACGCGGTGATGTACCTCAATTCTAATCGTCTGTCGATCCATGCAGCACATGCCGAGTCAGACAAAGCACACGCGCGTGTGCAGTTTGTAATGCAGCCAATACAAAATTTCAATTCCGAGGCGAGATGCAGCCCGAAAACTCTGGTCAACCAACGCGCTGTTTGTTTCTCAATTTGAACCTTGAGCTTCCAGCGCTTGACATTTCCAAATCGACATGTCCGAGGGGGATCAATTGGGCTGACAGTCGTCTTCCGAGGCGCGTTGATACCCAACCGAGCTCAACTCTTACCGAGACAGCAGCAAGCAAGGTTCGACGACTCACAGCTGTCGTTGCGCGCGGTCGACCTTTGTTTGGTCGATGGTCGGACGGTTGCGCTTCGTCTGATCGCCATAGAATGCAAATACCCCTGAGTCTGGGCTGGGAGCCGGTCCCAGACGATGCTGTCACCACCGCGTGGTCTATGCTTGTAGATCTTGCTCTCTTTGATGTCCACTGTGCGCCGAGTGTTGCCGATTCCTTGGCAGCGTCAAATAGGGCAAGAACATTCTAAGCAGGGTAGCACAATTCAGCAGAGGAAGACACCTGCTGCTTCTGTTCGCCGCAGACATTTGTTTGATCTGCGTCTTGGCGAGGACAGTGCTGCATGCTGCCGCCAACTTCTGAATGTTCTTTGCATCCAATTAGACAGTCTGTCAAGGTCGCCTGCGCTGCTTCCTCGAGGTCGCTTGTTTCGTCTTGCCTGGCTTGGCGTTCATCTGGTGTGCCTTGTTTCCCGGATCCTTGTTTGTCCCGTTCAGGCACTCTGGTGTCGACTCAGGCAACGGCGTCTACCGGCGTTCAAGATCCGCCTTCGCGTCTGTCACAGATGTCAAAACATCCTCGCTCCATTCATGCGATCTTGCCAGGCAGGCCGCGCACAGAAAACTTCTGCGCCATGTTCCAAACCACGCCAATGCAGATGATCGGCCAAGACTAAAGAAGCAATGTGACGACAGCGGAACGCAGATCCCGAAGAACAGGGCCTCTGGTGACCGACTCAGAATGTCCTTCCTTGCTGCTACCCCTCGGACCACCAAGCCAGCCTACCGAGACAGCGAGCCCGCTCAGCATTGTCGTCCGGTAACGATGGCTAGGATAGCAAATGGAGCGTTCAATGCGAGCGCGCTCCTGGTTTCTTTGAACTTTGGGTTCAGGACCTGATGCAGGCATGCGTCTGTCGAAGAACGACACTCACATGGGTCCAGCTTCCTAGCCGTAGCAAGGGCGTTGAACGATCCATGAACAATGAGTTACAATTACATGTGGCCAAGTCATGCAAACGATGCCGCAGAGACTAGGGTACGCCAATCAATCTTGGTACTCCAGTCGGGGCATGATCGCGCCGCGCTTTGATTAGCTGCTATCCTTCCGAATCCTTTCAAAAACTTCCACCACCACCAAAGTGTTCGTCATTAAGCTATGACTGGCACCCTCGATCACGCGCAGCGAGCAGTTCCGCATCTCCTTGGACAAGCTGACCGAACTCGAAAGAGGGATCCGCTCGTCCTTGCTGCCATGCCACACCTCACATGCCACCTGAACGTCTGTGTAGTCAAAGCCCCACGGCTTCTTGCCAAGCACCAAATTCAGATCATCCACCAGCCCGCGCGCACTCTCGTTACGAGATGCTTTGAGGAGAGCCACTGCGCTTTCGCGTTCTGCCTCTTCCGTCGCCAGAGTTCTGCCATGGCCGGAGAGAATCGGCCGATCACTGTCGATAGCTCGTCTTGATGCCGCTTCTTGCTGTACATCTGTCCGTTGAGAGGCCACGTCCGATGGCCTTCCGTCACCGTGAAGCTCGAATTGCCGATCTATGGAGAATTCGTCGTCCGACGAGTTCAACGGTGTCTTGCTGTTCGCTCTGGATACTTCCCTGCCAAGCCGCCAATTTTGCAGCTTCCATTCTGCTGCCTGAGCGGTCTTGATGAATCCGTCGGGCACGTATCGTAGCCATCGATAGCCGCTATCTTGCTGCATACCCGCCCATGGAGCGAGAAATCGGACAGGACCTTGGACGCGATCAGGGAAAAGGAGCGCTACAGCGGCGGCAAATGGCGCTCCTGCACTGTGCGCCAGCATGGCAAATCGGTCGATGTGTAGCAGATCAGCCACCTTTTCGACGATCAAGCTCCATCCCAAGATGGTACGTGAATCTGTTGGTACACCGTCAGTGCGTCCGATGCCCCACCGATCGATACAGATCAGCCGCAGGCCAAGGGAGGTAGCGAGCTCATCGTAGAGGCCGACAAGATGCCTTGAGGCTCCTAGCCCCAAAAATACTATGACCGCGCGGCCTTTCTCGTCGCCGACATCCGCAAATGATACTTGCATGGCTGGAGCGCCAGGAATCGTGATATCAGCACAACACGTTAGACCCCTTCTCTTCGAGCGCAAGCCGTCAGGAACGGATGAGCTCGGTGGCGAGCGCCCTGGCCGAGGAGGACGACCGTTGTGTGCGCGTCCGCCAAGATGTCGCTTGCGATCGTGATCCGGCTCGGAGCTTCCCGTTGAAAGGTTGGACATGACCCTTGCAAGAGTTTCAGGTTCCGTGCTCTGGAGCATCGTGCGGCTCGCGCGTTCCACAGAGCCGACCGAAGAGACCGAACTTACATTCAGCAACGCTCCTCCCTGCGGCGAGGTCGTTCGGGATGACTCCCTCGGAGAAGCACAGTGGTCGATGGCTGCCCACGATGCCGAAGGTTGCGGGCCTCGTGTTGGTGGCGGGACGTCCAACAGACTGCTAGAATATGTTCGGACGATCTCTTCGATTGACTTGACAGGCTCTCGTGCCATATTGCGCGTTCGAAATTGGAGCCGTGCTGTGGTGGGTGCAGCCTTCGTGCTGGACGCAGCATTTGACGGCCGGGCATTAACGTGATCGTCATCTTCGTCGATTGGCCTAGGTGCTTGCAGTGATGCGCCTGCAAGCTGCACCTGCGTCGATCCGGGTGCATCACTAAATCGAGAGTCGAGTTGACTACCTGAGCGAGATCTACGTAGAGCATTGTGCCTCGACGACGATGACTTGTCCTCCCTAACAGGGTTCGCTTCGTGCGCAACGAGAGTATGCTTGGGGATGTAAGGCCCTGTCCTTTTGCGCTCCGGATACAAGTCATAGTAGCTTGTTGCAGGCCGGATACGGCTGTGGGAGCCTGCTTTCGGTGCCGGATGTCGCCGGTCTTCGTCGTCTCGTATCATGACTCTGTCAAGGCCCTCGCTAACGATTCATTCCATGTCGAGGTTGGCAGGGTGACTGAGGTATGCGATAGGACTGGGCGCATTGTGAGCTCCGCTCGTCTGCTCTATGCAGTACCGCCGACTCTTCAAGCTGTTCCCATTGTGATCCGGCTCGCATGCATGATGTCTCAGCGAGCCGAGCGCAGATAGGTCGTGATGGTGAGAGGCGAAGCTGTCGAGCAGGTCTGAGATAGCCAAGGGTCCTCTTGGGAGCATCACGCGTCCGAGACCCGTGCCGACCTCGTTTTTGGTGGGCGGAGGGTCCCTGAATTCATTTGGACCCTGACTCTGCTCGTGCTCGTCGCATGTCCTGCACGCTAGTCGCCCTGCTGCTGTTGTAGAGATCCACTTGCCTCGATTAGTGAGTAGGACTTGCAGTCTAGGATGATGGAGTTCATCCTGAGGCTGAGGATGAGAGGGCGCCAGCTGACTTGGTCAAGTCTGAGGCAGAGACTGCGGCCAACACGATCCTACCAACTCCTGGCAGGGACGAGCCTTGGGCAAGAATGAAATGCAACTCTGTCTGACGGAGCAGACGAAAGTCAACCGCATAACTTACGACAGAAACACGGAACACGACATGCCTGACAATAATTCTCGTAGACCCGAATCACAAAATAACTCAAGAGGTGAGTATTTGCTTTTCTCGCCACTCACAGTCTGGGATCAACTCCGGTTCGTGCTCAAAATTGTCATTATGGCTTCGCTCGACCACTACTCACGCCCGTGCGAAACAAACATCTCGACCATAAAATGCTCGGCTGACAAAAAATGTCAATGAAACAGCTCGAACTGCGGGAGACATGGCAACCAAATCATGTCAATGCCCGTTGACTTGTCGCAGTCTTGATCTAATTTACTCTTACTGAATTCCAGCTTGAATTCACGTAGATAATCATCTCGTAAAGCTCAGATTGACATCGCCCTCTGCGCTATTTGGAGCATAGAGCGGGCGAATTGTGCACGATGTCAATTTTATCATCCTCTCACAGCTCAATGGCCAAATTTTGTGTGACATTTACTCTGCTTTAGCAACAAAGTCACTACGCTGACCAATTACGCAGACCAATAGCAAACAAATGGACCAACAAACGCCCTAGAAATGCTAGAATTCCTTACACGATCGATCTGTGCACGTCCGGTGGCGATCACTTCCACTTCTTCCCGGTGGCCCTCTGTCGTTCGTCTCCGATGGGTCGGGGCACATTGCGCTGAACGATGGCGAAGGAAGCAGGCAAGACACCCAAGGTCAGTCCTGCTCAGCGTCCATCGGAAGGAAATGCAGTATTCAACTTACCCTCGGACCATGGTCGGAATCTTCTGAGTCTTGCTTGCTCGCCGCAGCGACAGTGGCGCCATTTTCGCTCCAGAGACTGTGATGAGAGGCACCGCCGTGGTCAGTCCCGATACGAGCCGGACTCAGCGCGACATGGCCAGTGGGTATTTGAGATGGTCTTGGCGTCGAGTGTGCCTGCGACACGATGTTGGACCGGACACTCGGCGGCGCGCTGCCAGCTCGCGAGTCAGCCGTGAGCTGATCCCGAGCAGGAACAGAACTCGACAGGTCATCCTGGAACGAGCCGGGAACGGGCTGTTGTATAGAAGGCGAAAGTCGGGAGACACTCGCTTGAACTTGCATTGCACCGATCAGGAGGCCATGCAGGGACAGACGAGCCAGAGAAGCACTTGAGGCGCAGCAATACCTGACGAGGGCTCGATCGCCGTAGGTGCGGCCATCGCGCTGCTCGAGATGTTGGAGCTCCACGACATGACCGAATGGCTCCGTCAAAGCTCTGACCATGGCTGGAGACGTGACGACGCTTGCGTCAAGACCGGAAAGCAAGAGGGCGGACTCGTCGCCGCCTGGCAGGATTTCTGGCAGAGGCAATCCCTGACACTGTTCAGGCTTTGTCTGGCAACAATTCAAGCGCAAGAGGTGTTGATCGGTGAGTATCGTGGACTCAAACTTGTGCGGGGAGATGGAAAAGCGGCAGCCGCCCTCTCTCGTCCTCTGGTGTGAAGCGAGGCTTACCTGGACGACAGTGTCAACTGCCTTGGGCTGTGCCGCAACCTCATCGCCATGAGACTCGACACACTCTTGTGAGAAAGGCGTAGCGCTCCTTTGGACGATAGCGAAGGATACCTCGACACGGTAGCCGTGCCAATCGTGGCCGTTGAGATTCGCAATAGCAGCTCTGGCTTGAGTCGAGTCCGACATGAGGATGAACCCCCGTCTTCGAGCCAGATGATCAAGAGTTGCCAAGATCACAGCATGCTCGACCTGGCCAAATTGCGCAAAGAGTGCCTCGAGCTGATCTGTGGTGGCATCCAGAGGAAGGTTGAGAACGTACAGGTTGCGCTGGGCGCGCTCGCGACCGCTTCTCATCCTGCTCGTCGAAAAGAAAGACCAAAGGTGAAGCAGCGCAAAGGCCGGAGTCACTCGTGCAAGACCTGGCTGACTGCGTTGGTGGTTGCCAGACGGAACGACAGAAAGCAAGACAATGCGCGTGCCAAGGTGGTGCCAGTCTGGCCTGTGCCTCCCACCACGCGCGTCGTCACGCATACATCCACGCAGCAGCAAAAACGCGGCGACTTTTCCTTGTTCACAGACAGTCACGAGGACTTGAGCCAAGAACACCAGCGCAACTTCTGCTCGACTCGGCCTCTTTTGCGTGACTCAGCTTTCGTGTCCTTAGCCGTGCCTTCCAGCGTCCGGCGCCTTATTTTGAAGACGCCAGAAGCGCCGGGTCCACGGGCTGTCCCCTCTTTGATGAATCGCAGGCTGTCTGTCCCTGCAAAACGGCAGAAGAGAGCGAACAGCATCCAGAGCTCGTCAGAAGTTCGGATGAGACGACCAAGGCTGGCAAGTCTCTTGCGTCAACTGTGGCCGTACTGGCAAAGCCAGGGTGGAGTCCATCGCCTGGAAGTGCCGTACGTTGTCGTTCGTTCGAAGCCGAATTCCTCGAAGGAAGGCGAAGGGCAAAAATATCCGGAAATGCAATTCGCCGAACAGCCACACCGCTTGGGCGAGGCCAACGCGTAAAGCGCATTTCACATTCCAATCCTTCCGACTTGGACCCTAGTCGCCTCCAAAGACATCGCTAACCACTGCTTCGATGCTCCGACTTCCATCTCATCGATCATCGCTTCTGTCGTAACAGAAAGGAACGCGACCAGACGGCGCGATTGCTTTTCAACATCTCGCCATGTCCACTGTCGCATGCCGATAGATACACCAAAGTTCAGCAAATGGGTTCTTCATCTCTGCACAGCTTGACGGTCTGGCTCGGGATGAAACATGGAGGAGAACCAAGATAGTCGCACGCAAGCTGACCCAGAAGCAGCAAGAAGCGGAAGCAATGCTGCCGAAGTGGTCAATCCAGACACAAGCGACCGAAAGCGCGATCAAAGCTCAAACCACGACCAGCTTTCCTCAGAGGACTTTGTCGAGCTGACGCGGATCTCTCGCAAGAAGGACGATATCGAGCGCCACATCGCCAGTCTGCAAAGCTGGCCGTCATGGGATCCGTTCAAGGATGTGAACTCGTACTCAGCTGATCCTGCATCTCTGGCGAGCAGCAAGACGACAATCGATGCCATCACGAGCCAACTTCGCGACCGCCAGACGGACTGCGACGGTCTGGAGCTCGATGTGCAGCAATTCAATCTCGAGGACATGAAGCGGCTGCGCTCGGTCGCAAAAGCCGTGTCAAAGCGCCACTTGTCCGGACCAGACACTGATCTGTTGGAGCTGGCACTCGGCACCGTATTTGCTTTGGACAAGCTTCTCCGTCTCTTGCGCGAGCGTCGTACGGAACACGACTTGACGGATCTACGGCTGCAGTGGGAGGGCCTGATCTGCTCAAGCTGGCACGAGGTTGTAGAATTGCGTCGCGCCATCGACGCCTTTGAACGCAGATGCGAAGCTGCGACGGCTGCGCAGCCGAGTATGAACGGTGCATCGGCCGCCAGTGCTGGTCCGGGAGAACCCGAGATCGCACACACGCAAGGAACATCTGGCCTTCAACAGATACCGAGGTCGGCAAGCTCGTCTTCCAGGCTACTTTCCGAGTCTCTGAAGCTCGATTGCTCGCGTCTCGTGCTTCGCATTCGAAGCTTCGATGCCGAAAAAGTCCGACCCGCTGGAAGGCTGCTCGACCTCCTGATCGATCAAATCCAGGTTCCAGAAGGACTGATCGACGAACAAGAGAAGCTCGAAGATGCGCTGCCTGATCCTGCCAGTATCGAGGCCAAGTCGTCGCAAGCCTTGTCCAGCCTTAGCCACGCTACCCACTCAGTACCACGAGCGCAGGACGCTATAAAGTCGTTCGCCGTAGGGCCTGAAAGCGAGGATCCCACCAGCGAAGAGGGCACCAGCGTCACCGATGCGGCCTCAACAACGAGCTCGTTGGCTGAGCCCAGGAAGATGCCGAACGACCGGGCGCGGATCTTGAAGAAGACCGCTATCCGCTCCCAGAAAAGCTCTCACCTTAGCTTGCCGATGACACATGCACGGCATGCTTCGAACCACTATCGCTCGGATCCTCGAGATGTGCTGGACGTCGCGGTAGGCAATGTTGTCAATCGCATGCCGATCTCGGTCTCGATCAAGAATGCAAAGCTGGTGGACTCGATTGCGCATCAACGTCCGGGCACCTTCAAAGACTTCAGCGGCCAGTACTGGATCGGAGAACCCGAGCCGCGCCTCTGCTTTTGTCGGATCCTTCCATCCAATTTGGTGATGGTCCGCATCGGAGGAGGATGGCAAGAGCTGTCCGAGTTTCTCACGCACAACTACGCGCACCTTAATCTGGAAGGCGTCCAAGATGATATTGCGCTGGCACGCGGAACAAATGGAAAGCAAGCAGCCAAGATGACATGGATGCGCTCCGCCTCTGGTCCAGCGAGCTCACCCCGCGCCAGGACGCAGTCGTCCATGGGACCGCTTCGACCATACGCAGGGCCGGACTTAGACAATGCGCGACACTCCTCGCGAATCGTAACGATGCCCACGGTGAGCACGAACGCCCAAGCGACACCTCAAAATATACCAAGCGGCCACCATATACCCAGTATCACGCGACGCCCAGACCCTGTCGAACAGAGGGATGGGAGCTTCTCGACTCCCTGCAAGATATCCGATCTTGCCTCGAGCACTTCCGACTCGTCGATCGTCATTCACTCTTCGTCACCATCGGCTTGAGTCAGCTGTATACCTATTCCAGACAAATCTTTTGTTCACTAGCGCAATGCATTCTGTGAGATGCCCATAGAATGAGACTGACCAGGCCTGTTCAAGCGCTCCGGCGGGTTGGTCGGCAAGAAGCAGCTTGAAGGTCGTTTGCTTGCCGGCAGCAACGAAGAGAATGCGAAGTGCCAATGTGAGGCCTCTGGAAGAAGACAAGCACGCTGTCATCGATCTGCATGCTCTAGAGGCCATCTGTTGTGTGCAGCGTTCGATATTCTCACGATGTTTCCAAAAGTCGGGAACACTGACCGGAGCTGCCCGGTCCGGTCACAGGCAAGCTTCCTTGGTCGGCAAAATTACGAAAATAAACGCACAGCGCCCCGCCCCGCGGGGACTGCGTTCACAATCTGGTTTTTCATGCATGAGAAGCCGTGAGCTTCGCACCGACCATACATTCGGTGCTGGTGAGCGGAGTTCATGAGGTGGAGCCTGGTGGCTTCTGGGCCCTGATGAGGAGGGTTGCAGGCGGCCGTCGGACTGACAATCCATACTTAAGTCGATGTGACCGTCTCTCCAACGCAGGCGTCCGTCCTTTCCCACCTGCACACACCACTTCAGCCAACGACTATCAATTACGTCCACACCATGTCATCCTCTGCTGATCAGATCGAAAGCTACCCTCGCCCTGGCAAGACGGCCATCGTGTAAGTGTTCGGCGTCGCGAATTAACCCTTGCCTTGCCTTGAGCTAACAAAACTGACTCCTGCTCCTGAATCTTTGGATGCCCCTCGCGCGAACAATGCTTCCTCCGCAGTACCGGCGGTTCTTCTGGGGTGAGTACGGCTACTGGGCAAACGTTTTGACGAGCTCTTCGAAGTGGCGCGCTGACAATGTGATAATGATGACCCTCTCAACATCGTATACAGCTTGGACGAACGAGTGCGGTAGCCCTTGCCCGTGCTGGCTGGAACGTCACGGTCACCGGCCGACGTGAGGCCGAGCTTAAAGAGACGGTTGATCTCCTCGACAAGGCGGCGGGTCGCGAGGGCGCTGGATTCTTCGTCGCCGGCGACATCACCAAGGAGGATGTTGTTCTTCGTACCTTCAAGGAGACCGCCGAAAAGTTTGGTCGCGTCGATCTTGTCTTCTGCAATGCGGGCATCTCGCCTCCCAACGTCCCTCTGGCAGAGCAGAAGCTGTCCGACTGGCAGGCCACCGTCGACGTCAACTTGACCGCCGCCTGGCTCTGCGCCCGTGAGGCCTTCCGATACATGGAGAAGCAACAGCCCCAAGGTGGTCGCATCATCATCAACGGCAGTATCAGCGCACACGCTCCCCGACCCTTCTCGGAGCCCTACACGGCGACAAAGACCGCCATGAACGGCCTCAGCAAGTCGCTCTCGCTCGACGGCAGGAAGTTCAACATTGCTGTCACACAGATCGACGTCGGCAATGCAGCATCCGAGATGACGGCCAAGATGAAGTCTGGCCCTGGTGTTCCTCAGGTGAGCGCAATCGCAGCGAAGCGGAGCAAATGTGGGATGGAATCTGACCCTTCTTTACCGCTGACCTTTGGATGTTGACAGGCCGACGGCTCTCTTCGTCACGAGCCCACCATGGACCGCGAATGGTACGCAGTTCATCTCGAAGTCTTCCTGCAACAGCAGCGAACTCAAGAACTGACCTCTCTCTGCCCCGCTCTAACTTCCTCGTCGCTTTTGCAGGGTCGGAAAGGAGATCGTTCATGTCGCGGAGATGCCTCTCGGTGTCAATGGTGAGTCCCCAGTCATCTTCTATCGCCCTCACACTCACCACATACTGACTCATTTGGCGGTCCAACCTGCACTTCGAACAGTTGCCAACGTCGTGATCCAGGCAACGAACATGCCAAGTCATGTTGGCCGTGGTTGATCTCATCGGGGTCATCCCTCTGCACAGTTCCCTTTGCAATGCTAGAATTGAAGATCGAAATACAGGAATGGCGAAGATTCTCAAGAACTGATGATGAGATGACAAGACGAAGAAGCTTCACTCCTCCTCGCCCTCAAGGGCTTCTGGAAGCTTGATACGGTTGCCGCCCCTCCAGAATCGCACGGCGTAGAAACCGCCAATGGCAAACAAAGCCGCGACCAACGCGCAAGTCAAGGTGATCCAGCCCCATCTGTAGAACCAATTAGGCTCGTAAGGAGCGAGGACCGTGTCGATCTGATACACGCCGCCTATTGGCGCTCGCTCCAGGTGCACGGCGCCCCTGACAGCGCGAGCTTCGCGGCCGAACGCCGTCACCTTGGCGGAGTGTCGAGTCGCCGTCGTGCCTCGCGTGTTCTTGATGCCAACGAGCCATCCGAGTCCTTCGTCATCCGGATCGTCCGAGCTCAAGCCATGGTACGGTCTGCGTCGATAGCGTGCAGTACTGCCGGACGCAACTCTGCGGAAGCTGACTTGGCCGTACGCGCTCGGTCCACCCTGCGATCGATCAAGCAGAGTAGGGAAGGAGCCCTCGTCCTTCATGCCGATGTCGTCCCCTCGACCATCCGGAAGCAGGGCGTCTAGAGCCCTGTCGTCGGTGAGCGGGATGATGTGCTGCTGCACCAGCCTTTCGAGGAGGTCGCGGTCCTCGAGAACCGCGGAAAGATTGAGTTTAGTGAAAGCGCTGTCCGTCGGCACCAGCACCATGTAGCCCGTGCTGGACTCGACGGTCTCGTTCTGCGGAATTTTGCTGTCCAGGATGTATTCGTACCCTGCTTGAACCATGAGGTCTTCCATCGTATCGGCCTTGGCGCCTTTGAGGAGATCGCGGATGGTGAGATCAAAGGGGATCTGAACACGATCCACCTCGTGAATCACGCCGGTGTTGGTGAGAATGTCGCCTTTGAGTACGAGCGAGACGGTGCCGTTCGAGAAGCCCGACTTGTGAACGACGACGGCTCCGTTCTTTTGCTTTCTGATGGCTAGCTTGGCGCCGAGTGTGGGGAGCAGCGTTGGGTACTCGCTTTCTTGCTCGGTGAAATCCGATTTGTAAGCGATCTTGTCGATGGCATGATACTCGACGAGTGCCTGCAAGAGGTGCTGCGAGTCGGGAAGAAGCATGTAGTTCATGGCAAGACCGAGGCCGGTGAAGGCATCGTTGGTGGGCACGAGGTAAGTGACGCCCGGAGCACGCTCGACAGCCTTCTTGAGGTCCGCGCTGAAGACGGTAGCCACAAAGGTCGAGAGGGAAAGGTAGGAGACCGCAGTCTGGACCGGGTCCGAGGGAGGCTGAAGAAGCTGGGAGACGACGTAGATGATAGCTGTGTCTTTGATGTCGACAGGTTCCCTGAGCACGTTGGCGTCCCCAAAGGCAACGTCGCCGTTGCCCTTTCGATCGGCGGCGGTCGAGTCGCCGACTGTAACAGGCATCTTCTGCCGGCCTTCTCTCAGCTTCCAGTCAAAGAGCTCGGTATTGAGCAGCATGCCGCTCGTGAGATCGCCAGGTCGTACTTGACCAGGAAGGATGTGGTAGCGAACGATCTCCTCGAGAGCCGGTCCCTTGCGATACTCGCGGGACAGACGTACATTCGCATCGCTGCTGGGCTCCAGAGGAATATGACCAGGATACCACGAGTCAATGACATCGTCACGAGGGGCGAGGAAAGTGAAGTGGTCCTGGTCACGCCTTTGCAGGTGTGCTGGCTTGTTGATGTATTGTTGCAAGCCTGCTTCATAGATGAGATCGACGAAACGCGAAGCGTTGAGTGCCAAGAGATTGGCCTCGATGGTCATGTCAAGGTCGCCGAAGGGCAGGATCAGGTCGTCGATGAGATGAATGACGCCGTTCTCGGTCAAAATGTCCTCTTGCAAAACTCGAGCTTCCATGACTTTGATGTCGCCATCCTCCGTCCGTACCGTGATAGAACCACCCAGCGCGGTCGGAAGAGTGACATCTCCTGCGGCGCGAAGAGTTGCCGAATAGGCTGGAGAGCGGTCGCCCAATCCGCTCCCAGACATGTGCCAGCCAAGAAGCTTGAGTCGATGTAGAGCGGCTTGCTCGTAGGTGCCGAAGATGTAGGTGGACTCGAGCACACTGAGTTTGTCGAAGGCTTCGGAGGTGGGCAAGAAGAGGGTAAGGTGTGGAACCGTGGAAAGACTCTTGAGGGTCTCATTGCCGACAAGACGCCGCAAAGTTTCGAGACGGGGATGCGTCAAGATGACTTGGTCCAAGGAAGGCGGCAGGTCGACGACCGAGTCAATGTAGTGGATCACGCCGCTCCTGGATCGCCAGTCCTCGGCCAGTGATTTGGCACCTCCGCGACCCGTCTCATCTGTGCCAAAGTAAAGGGCCCTGTGCTTTGGCTTTGAGCTGCGTAAGTAAGACATAATGCCCGCATCGTCTGCATTAGTGTCCCGTTCGAGGGCGACACGCATTCGTTGGCCATGGTGGCCGAGCAGACCTCCATGATCCTCCTCGTCAGGAACGGGTACACGGCCCGGGTGGGTGGGCTCCGTCAGCATACGACGAGACGGAAAGTGTAGTGTCGTCTGCATCTGCGGCCTGCCTGGCTCGGGAGGAGGGCCAGATGGGGAATGAGCGCCGGTATCGTCGCTCAAACTAAAAGGAAGGGTGTAGTTGAACACGTGGTAGAGCAAGTGCTGGCGAGCCACGGCATTGACATTGCCGGCTGCCAGGCAGACGCCATTGTTCCAGACACACTGCGTTGAGACGACCGAAGACTCGTCCCGTGCTTGCCACTCGTCATCGAGGAGATACTGCCAGAAGGTAGGCGAGTCGGAGGCTGCCCCCATCGTCGAGTCTCGACGCGCTGCTTGCTCCTCTTTCTTGCGGTAGAAAGCGTCATTGGTTGGCGCGAGGATAGTAAGACCAGTGCCATTGTCGAATTCCTGCAACCGGTTCAGTGTCGGAACGAGTCGTGTCCTTTGCAGTAGGCGAACCAGGATGGTGTGTTCTGGCGACTGCGAAAGAAGGTCGATCAGGTTGAAGGAGATCGAATCATTCCCCTTGCGTGTTTCAGTGAGAGGCTGGGAAGGGATCTGTAGAGGCTGTTGGACGCTTCTGAAGCCAGCGTGCGATTGGAATGAGGCACATCGCGCAATCACGATGAACAGAGAGACGAGGCCAATGAGGCTCGTCGTTAAGTGCGACTTGATCATGATTGCCGGTTGGAGAGGCCTTCGAAGGGGTGTTAGCAGATCAAAGGATTCTCCTCCGGGAAAAAGTGCCCGGCATTGCAGATGCGGGCAGTGAGACTTGCTGTGTCGCAGTAGTGGCCTGTCGAGTGGTGGGTAGAGTGCAAGATGTTGAGCGATGACTAGTGGTGGTTGAGCCGGGCTGAGCAGGCTTCTCGACCCTGCATAATCTCGATAAAGTGGAGTTCTCGACTCGATTTTCAGAGCAGATCATGCAGCTCAGCTTGACACGGCTCAACCGGCTCAACCGGCTGAGCCTGACTGAGCGTTTCGACTAGCGAAAGCGAAACGCCTGAGCGCGCCGGCTGTGGCTGTAGCTGGACCCTGCATCCACAACCTCAAAGAATCGCGGAGGAAAGCGCAGTCACATCGGCTCGATCCTCCTCCTCCCCACCCTCAAGACAGCCTGACCTTCGACGACGTTCTCGAGAATCATCTCAGACCCGCTCTCGAGCAACTCTGTTTCGGAATGGTCACCTCTCCGATAAACTCATGAACCACCATGTCGCGAGCCTCGTGGAGCAGCACAGGCTCGGACGCCGAGGTACGACATCACTTCGACCAGCCGTTCGACCATGACCCGCATCAGTGCCTCGAACAGGAGAAGCGGCGAGCAGATCATTACGAGAGCGAGCAGGAACATGACGATCGAACAGACGACGACTTGGATGTAGCGTCGCTCAACGAGTCCCTCGACAGCTTCGAGGATGCAGAACCACCAGATGCACCGCCATCTCATCCCGAGCCGGACTTCCTCGACGAGCTGGAAGATCATACAAATCAAGCCATCTGTCGTATCTGTCTCGAGTCTGCATCAAGTGATGTGTCAGGTGGCGAGTCTTTGGGCCGCCTCCTTTCGCCCTGCAGATGCAAAGGCACCATGAAGTACGTTCATGCCACTTGCCTCGATCAATGGAGAGCTGCCTCTGCTCGATCCTCGTCCGCCGTCGCATGCGATCAGTGTGGGGCTCCCTACCGCTTTCGCAAGTCCAAGTTCGTCGGCCTGGCCACATCACCAACGCTTCTCTTCATCGTCAGCCTCTTCCTCTTCCTGATGTTGATCTGGACCGTCGGTGTCATCGCCACGTTCTTCATGGACGTCTACGATCGCCCTTCTGCAGCCAAATCTCCTTCTTCCGCACGCAGCTCCAAGACAAGAAGCTGGTGGCCTTGGCGAGGCTCTGCACTGGACCCAGATTTCGACGTTGCAGAGGCGAACGCATGGTCTTACCTCGACGCGGACTACACCCCCGGCTTATGGAGCTACAGCAATCTGATGTACGAGCCCGCGGCGTACGTCAAGCTCGTCAAGGAGGCGGTGAGGTCCTTTGCCTCAGGCGAGGCCGCCGATGCCGTCAGGGAAGTCGTTGGCCTGCAAGACGCAATCGAAGAGCCGCAAGCTACCCAAGAAGATCCGCAGCAGCAGCGAGGTTTCTGGTCCGCACTGAAGTACGAATGGATGTACGGCGACGGCGGCTTGTGGGAGAAGAAAGCTTCTTCGACCTCGGTTTTGTCTGATGCGCAATCAGCTCACTTCACGGCAGGATCCGGCGCTGGAGGCATCAATCCAGAAAGCTCGTCTCCCTCAAAGCCAAAACCTCGAGAGAAGTACGACGCAAGGGCCGCCTCCGACGCCGACGATATCTTAGCCAAGAAGCGTCGTCGGAAGAAGGCGAAGAAGGCGGCCCGTCGTTCGCAGCTAGACGGCACCGAGCCGCAAGGATGGCTCAACAGGCTCTTGATACAGTGTAAGTCTCACTCGTCCCTTGTGTATCTTGCAACATGATCCGTTAGCTCATTGTGTCCTTATCACGATATCATTTCGCCCCGCAGTCTCCGTCGGTTTCTCACTGGTCGGCATTCTGTCGTTCGTCAACATCCTCGTCGGCGCATCCTTCATCGGACCCATCAACCTACACAACTTTGGACTCGGTCGATCCTTTGCCCGCATGACTTCGGGCGGTCGCGGCCGCAACGGCAACCAGGAAGGCGTCAACATCGCCTCGATCCTCATCGTGCTGCTCGTCATGATTGGCGTGGTGCGTGCGTTGCTCGTCGTATACAAGCTGGTTCGCAAGTCGGCCAGGAGAGGGCTGAGCAGGCTTGAGGCTGTCATTGTGGACTGGAACTACGAAGGCGACACAGACGTGGCCACTGGAGACATTGTCACAGCGACACGCGATACCCTAGACCAGAACGCCCCACGGCAGAGGCACGGCTTTGTGCAAGCAGACGACAATTGAGAACGGAAGCCAGACGGCAGATAGTCAAACGAAAATGGTCTGAATTCGGGAGATGTGTCAAGCCTCGATGTGATCCAGACATGGAACAAGTGGCAAGCGACGCAGAACATTTAGAATGCGAGATGCAATGCAGATGACGTTGAGTAAAAGTACAAGGTGAGAGTGAGAAAGATGCTGGTCGGCGGATGAGCCATGCGAGAACGATGCTGGACAAGAGATGCGAAGAGCTGTAGCGTTACGATCGAGCGATCAGAAGTAGAAGTCGGGTTCAGATGCACTGACGTCCGAAGCGTCGTCTTCGCCCATCTCGTCCACGAGCATCTTGACCATGTAAGGGCCCTCAAGCTCGTATCTGAGTCTTCGGTAGTAGTCTCGAGTACCCACGCCGGAGATGACAGCCAGCTTGCGCGACCCGTGTTCGTCTCTGGCAATGCGTTCGGCCTGCTCCATCAGCAACGTACCGAAACCCTGATGTTGGAACTTGGTTGGGTCTCGCGAATGGATGGGAACCGCGCTACCGTACGTGTGCAGCTCGCGAACGATCGAACACTGGCCATCCTTTGTCAATTCGGGCCGGTATGTCCCAGCGGCCGAGCACTTTCGCAGTCGCAGCAGCGCAATGAGAATGTCCTTCTCCGGATCTTCGTAAGCGAGGAAGGATTCCCAGCCGCCGTTTGCCGTGTAGTCTCGACGGATGAACTCAACCTCGTCCGGTCGGACCTTGGTATGGATCTCGTGCAAGCCGACTTCGCGGTAGCGTACATCGCGACAAGTGACGCCGAAATCGCGCATGCGCTCCAACGCCAGTTCTCGCAGGTTGCCATTTTCGACACCGGACGATACGAGCGGCATGGGGATGTCACGCTGCACACGATAGACTCGCGTCCATGGTGGTACCAGTGCCAAGATACGTGCGATCAAGTCGACCAGGAAGGAAGGGGTATAATTCTTGTAACGACCCGTCCTCCAGAGCTCGTACAGACCGGTGCCGCGGATGACGAGGGTAGGGTAAAGCTTGAGGCCGTCAGTACGAAAAGCTGGATTCTCGAAGTACTCCTTGAATTGCTCCATGTCACGCTCGACGCCGACGTTGGGGAGATCTGGCATCATGTGCGCAACGATCTTGTAGCCAGCATCTTTGGCAAGCTGGAAGGTCTCGCAGACCGCTTTGACGGTGTGCCCTCGGTTGGTGTCCCTCGCTACGTCTTCATAGACGGATTGCACGCCAATTTCGAGGCGAGTGCAGCCGTACCGGAGCATCTGAGAAAGGTGTGGTCGCAAGCAGTAGTCGGGCCGTGTCTCGATGGTGATACCGATGCATTTCGTCAGGGCGCGTTCCGAGTATTTGACGGCCTCATCGACGTCTTGACCGTTGAATCCGCTGAGGGCGTTGTGCAGCTGCGCGATGAATTGGCTGCGATAGGTCTCGGACAAAGACATGAAAGTGCCGCCCATGATAATGTACTCGACTTTGTCGACACTGTGACCCAGCTCGCGGAGCTGCTGCACTCGGTTCTTGGATTGCTCGTAGGGATCGTATCGAGCTCGAATGGCTCGCATCGAGGTGGGTTCATATCCGGTGTAAGACTGGGTGCTGTACTCGAAGTCGGAGTCGGGACCGCCTGGACAGTAGACGCAAATGTTGCCGGTAAGAGCGATGTGGGGGCATCGATGTGGCTTGCACATGACGGCTACTACAGCGATACCAGAAGCACTTCGCACGGGTTTGGCCTTGAGTGCAGGGACGAGCACTTTGCGATACGCCTCAGGAATAGCAGCGATAATGTCGGTGAGTCGTGGAACTCCATTGTAGCCGTGTCTTTTGCAGGTGCTTGTGCGAATGCTGTTCAACGAGACTGACGCTGAGCGGTCATGGGCATCGACGAGCTGTGCTGCAATGTCTGCGCAAACCCGCAGCAGCAGCTCGGCGGAATTGGCAGATGCACCCATGGTGGGTCGAGAATTGCAGGAGACTGCTGAGGATGCTGATGCGCTTCGATCAGCTCTCAGAAAGGTCGGAAGATGCGGGAGGCGAGGTAGGGAGCTATGACGGAAAGAAGATGATGGTTGGTCGTGGCTGACTTTGAAGAAACAAAAAATGTTAAGCGCAGCTTCGGCACTCGGAATTGCTTTTTCAGGTCAAGAACCACCAAAGCTTTGTCGTGACTTATCGGGTGCGGAGTAGTCACAAGGACCGCACGTTCCATCTGAATTCACGACCCTCACCATCATCACATCCTTCCTCGAACTCATCCTCAACAAAGAAGAGTAGACACGATGCTCGCTGCCATTCGTCCAACCGTCCAGATTCTCAGCAGGTCTGCTGTCCGCGTTGCACCCAGGCCATTCGCGGCCCCGCTGATGCGAGCAGGGTTTACTTCCAGCGTACGAGTCAACGGCGTGCAGAAGCGATTCACCGAGGAGCACGAATGGGTCTCTTTTGACGATGCCACCAACATTGGTACCGTTGGAATCACCGACTACGCACAGAAGGCGCTCGGCGATGTCGTGTTCATCGAGCTTCCCGAGGCTGGTGCTCAGGTCAAGAAGGGAGGTCAGTATCTCTGCAGCAGAAAGCGACACCATCAGCCAAGATCAAGTCTGATGTGCTGACATTGCCCGCTTCCAATTGTTACCAAATTGGCACTCCGTTCCGACTGTGTCAGATGACATCGGGGCTGTCGAATCCGTAAGTGACAGGGACCCATATCGAAGTTGTAATGAGACTCGGACTGACACTTGAATCGAGCGTTTGCCGCGAACTGTTGCTCTATACAGGTGAAGGCTGCTTCGGACATCTACGCACCTGTCTCTGGCCAGATTGAGGCTGTCAACGAGAAGCTCAATGACGAGCCCAGCTTGCTCAACAAGCAGCCCGAAAGCGATGGTACGTACCGCGCCGCGCTAACGAGCGCAGCTGTGAACACGCCCTTCTGACCCTGCTTGCCCTTTTCGATTTCGGCTGTATTGACAGGCTGGCTCTGCCAGATCAAGCTCTCGAACCCTTCCGACTTCGAGACGCTCCTTACCGCCGAAGCTTACCAGAAGATCTGCGAGAACTAATGCCGATCCTAAACTGCTTCCGACCCTCACTGGGAAGATTCCAAATTGCTCTCCACTGTCACGCATTGTCTCTTAACAGACCTAATCAACGCTCGTGCTCAAGATAGAAGTGCGCGGCACATGCTGTCTGTGAGAGCCCGCCAAGGGAAAGCTGTGAGAGCGTGTTGATGAACAAGTTGTTCTGTGGTCTGGTGACAACGAACGGCTGTGACGGATAAGAAGCCGCGATTCTTCCGGATGAGACGGTCCAGCGGCAGGTTTCCGATCTGTATTCATCGGGAGATTTGGTCTGCCGATAGTACGAGGTCTACCCCACCCATCTGCCTGCGTTGCAAGCAGCTTGGCTCGGGCTCCTCCTGCTGTGATGAGTTCTGTTCTCTTGAGCTTATCGCATCGACGCCAAGCTTGGATCCCCGCGCTCACCTTCCGCAATCAGCTTATCCACTAGCGACTCGGCTCGGATACAGTGAGAGCGGTTGCGGAATCCTCAATACCGAGGCACGCAAGGCAGCGACGAAAGCTTTGAGGCTGTGACAAAGCTCACAAGCGCCTCATCGGGAACTCTTCGGCTGGGTTGGGAAAGTGCCACAATCGTTCTTAATGGTGTCGCAGCTGACACGAATTACGAGCGGCGCTTGAATCGGACTATCCCGCTGCCATGCATGAGTGGCATCGGGCGAGTGTTGGCAACTCGACAGGGCTCAGCTCGAGCTGACCACAGACGGTCGTACGACGCCAACACCAGAGCCTCTCGCCGCGCCGCGCCACGCCCATTGCTAAGGCGTCGGATCAGTTGCCGTGCTTTGACGTCGGCGCCGACTCACTATGACCGCTATCAGGCGGGACGATCCGAGCTGACAAGCGCGGCTCGCCCGCGCATGCCGGCTCACAAAAACGGTTCTAGAAGATGTGTGACAGCCTAGCCGGAGACTAACCCGCTCACCCTCGCCTGACGGCCCGATATCAGTAGCTAGAAGAAAAAGAAGTGGCCCAAGGGCTCTTTGTCGGGATCCCACCGCCTAGCTTCCGTCGTGCTAAGCAATCGCCCTCTTGAAGGCCCCACCTCGCGCTGCTAAGGGTGCCTTTCGGCACGCGTCTGACCCTTGCGTCTAAAAATGTAGCGCGCGTTCCGGTCCTCGTGTCGACTCCTCGCGTTGCCTTCGAGCACTTTACAGGCTACGCCGACTGAATTGAACATCAATGTACCTACATGGAGTGGTTGCTGCAACCTGCGCGCAACGTTGTCAAGCGCTGCTGGTCGACAGAACACCAGGGGAAGCTGAACAAGGTGCATTATAGACTGCGCTTGCAATCGCAAAAAAAAAAAAAAA